TCAAACATCATAAAAATAGCTCGGAGAAAGCATTTTAAAAAATTTACAAGAGGCTTAAAATAAGGAACAAAAACGCCCTTCACGCTACTGTAGTAGCAGCCAGGAGGAAACTCACTAATCTTAACGCAAACGTCCTGTAGAGCCTTTAATTCTATAAAAAAAAAACTAGTTATAAAAAAGTAACACGATAAAGTGGCTTATACCGGAAGCAAACCACATTTTCCCTTCTTTATCATAGCCGTAGTAGAAAGAAGTGATGCCGATGGGATCTCTCGCTGCGTAATATTCACCTAATTCTTGTCAGAAGAGAAAAGAACCAAAAAAGTTAAAACATTTACCTGTTCTCGAATCAGAAATCACAAAACTAAACATGCCGTCTAAATATTTCACAAAGTCATTGCCAAACTTTTCGTACAGGTGAACGATAACTTCACAGTCCGAAGAAGTTGCAAAGTTTACAGTACTAAGATAAAGAGAGGAGAGTTTTTTATAGTTATAAATTTCTCCGTTCGCGCAAAGACATAAAGACTTGTCAGTACTAAACAAGGGTTGATCCCCTGGTGTATTTTGAATTTATATTTTATAAATTTATTATAAAAATAGTGCCTTTTTCATAATTTAACGTCTATAAAAATATAAATTTGCCTGTTTCCAAGTCAATAATAGCCAAACGCTTGTGCACCAAGCAATTATAGCCTAAAGGTAAAAAGTATAAGTTTTCTATCAATAAAAAAAATGAAGGCTAAAAAGCAAGTTGACTTAAGACGTTCTAAGTTTAGCAATAGCTTTGTCTATAGTTAAAAATTATTGCATACCTTTTATAGTTTTCTGAATATTCACGCCATAACTATCAGGTCCTCTATGTTTCAAAAGCTCAGCCTGCCGCAAGGCGAGAGCGCGTAAGTCTGCCCGCTTCCCGCAGGCATTCAAGACGGCCAGTACACCACACATGACTGGAAAAAACTACCGAGCAAATTAGTGAGCATTTCACATATATACCTTTTGTGGACCAATAGTTTGCAATTGGTTTTTTTTTAAGAAAAAGTTTCTCACCGTGTAACAGGGGTATTAGAAACCTACTTTTTTAACTTCCTTTGCAATTAATTTTTTTTTTTATAAAAAGTTCTAATCAAGTAACAGGAGTATTAGTCACCTACTTTCTTATATTCCGTAGGATCTATTTTAAAATTAAATCTGAAAAAAAAAAAAAAAAAAAAAAACGAAGAGCATTATTTTTATAGCGCTGCAAGTTTTGACTTAAATAATTTTATTATGTGAAAGTATCCCGTTGTTCACGGGAATTGTCTTCTACCTTTTTACTAACGAAATAGTCCTCCAAAGATTATAGATTCATTGCCTTTAGAAAACGGTGGTGTAACACAATTAAAATTTATTTTTAATAAACAATGCTCAATATAGTATCTACATTGCTAACAAAAACTTTTGTTTAATGCTTATCAACCAATAAAAGTAGCTTGCGAGAGGGAATGCGTAATAAACATGACATGCAAGAGCCAAGATTAATTGGGGGTTAAATAATAAATATTATGTTAACAATTAAACTTTTTAAACTTTTACTTTTTTTTATCCGCCTTACAATCCTTTTCCTAATTTATAAAAGGCATTTATGAATAATAATTTAGGGACCGCAACTAGCTAAATGCATTTTCTGAGAGTGTAAACTAACCGCCCCCTCTCCTTTCCCCGAGGTTTTTTTTCCGCATTTAAAAATTGAAATTTAATCTCACAATGATTAAACGCTTTATTTAATTTAAAAAAAAAAAATTGAGCTTTTATGTAAATTTTTGATAGAGAAGCATGTCTATTAATTATTCTCTTATATCCCTATGGGTTTAAGCAATGAGTAGATTAACGCTTAAATATAGAAGTTAACACACTTTCATTAACATGGGTAAGCACGGAATTTGCTTTCTATTATACACTTATTGCAATTTTTACTCTTCATTCTGCCTCATGCCTAGTTATTCTACACTCATAGAAAATGTAAAGGAAAACGGTTTAAGCAGACAAGAGCCCTACACTAACGCCATATATGAATATGAATAGGAAATATAAAAATAATATTAATATAGGCAATACCTAAACTTTTCTTAACTCCGAACCCTTTGGTAAGACCGAAACAAAGCTCTAGCCCTTCTCTCTTCAATGCTTTAGTTATAAAAAAAGATAATTGAGGGTGTAAGCGGTTTAGTACTGGTAAACATTTAGTTTTTGCTCTTCTTTCTCACGTTTGTCTTGCAATGGATAAAATAAAGCAAGAATCCGAAAAAGATTTTCTTCTTGAAAACTTGGACATTATAGAACCTGTTTTGGTTGATAATAGACTAGTATTTCCTTTAAACTTTGTTGGTTTTAATTGTCTACAAAACTTTCTAATAAGACAAATAAGTGTCTCAGTGAAGAATTTAATGACTTGTCTACCGTATTTATAGATACTGCCCTAGCATGGGAGCAAAGAAAACTTGGTTCTTCTGTCAAAGATTTTATTTATACAACACTTTTATCTCTTTTTTTGTCTAGCTCTTCTCAGGTTTAGAGGTATTATTAAGGGATACGCCCAGCACAACAACCTTATACCCGCTCTTAGCAAAATATGGGCCGATTTTCTTATTGTGGTGTGCTCGTTAACTTCTTTATAATATAACAAGTTTTTGTTTATTAAAATTTTCCACTATGTTTAAATTGGTTAGGTCAGAGATTTACGTTCTCAACTTAGTAGGGAGTCCTGTATAGCTACGGCCCATGTCGCCTTAATTTTAGGTTTGTTTTTTTAGCTTTATAATATTTTTTTTTTTTAAAATTAAAATATAAATTGTTAAAGGGAGACGGTTTGAGCCTTTGTTACAAGCAACGGTCTACTGCTTGATTCCTCTTCTTACAAGACAGAAAGTTAGACTTGTTGCTGTTCTTTCTATTATTTCTCTTTTATATTTCCACTATCACGGAATTAATAGTAACACTTGTTTTAAACAAAAATAGATTTTTGTATATTCTGCTTTCAACGCTATTAAGCAAGTAAGAAGTATTATATTTTCCTTTGAGTGGTATATATTAATCGAAAATTATATAAATCTTAAAGATTATGAAGTTCTGCTCTCATCACAAAATAATAAACATACTTGAAGAGAAACTCACCTCCAAAGATCTTTCCATTTCCGTTTATTGCTCGGAATTACTCGTATTTTACTGGTTTTATTAAAAGTTCTAGTACGGAATTAGCCTGTTTTTACCTTTGATTCTGATCTTAACAAAATTTAGTTAAATTTTTGTAAGGGCTTGTTTCTAACTACGTTTACATATATCTTAAGGCTGAAGCGTTACACACTTTTGAGCTTTCCATTCTTTCTAAATGCATCGAAAGCATCAAGAATGCCCTCCATCTAAGTATAAATCATGCCAAGTCCGAGTGTCGTAGATTGGGGAGGCAGAGCTTCTGGATCTTATATACTAAATTAGAAAGCGAAGCTTCGAGGTGCTGTGCGAAATCGAAATGAGATTAATTCAGAACAACTTTAGTTACGGTTTATTAGTTTTTTCGATCAGCTTCCGGAACATTCCGGCCGTCGAAAGGAGATTCTGAAAGAAAAACCAGCTCACATTCTTTGCACGAAATTTTCTTCGGGAGAAAAAGTTTTAATATTTGATCCTTTTTCTTTTTTTAGAAATTTAAAAAAAGTTTAATCTCTAGACTTCTGTTACCAGCGTGCGGAAGGGAAGACTAGCGTGGCCGCGTGCTGGGGAGCCAGTCGGTTTTGCTGACAGTCGATTTAAAGAGATCATCTTTTTGGAGCCGTTGCCTCAAGATTCTTTTTCTGACGGGCTTAAAGGAAACGTTAAAGAAGAGAAAAAGGATAATATAAGAACCAATCTTTTTAATAATCACGAAGAAACCCCAATTGATAAATCTGAGAGACCCCGTGGTGATCCGCATCTTAAAGATGAAATTAATAAAGAAAAAAAAGTTTTATTATTTTTTATTTTATTTTGTATTTGTCACAGCTGCTTTTTTTAAATTTCTTAGCAGAAAGAGGACGTCACTGAACTGGGATCGCCTCATATTTGCAACGACATTCACATCGATAGAATTCTAAAAAGCCTTGAGCACGGGGATTTTACAATAAACGGCCGCGAACTCCTTGTGGCGACCACCGAGCCTCTCGAACATCTTGACGAGGGTTTGGACCAGCCCTTATCGAATCCCTATATTTTAGCTTTTGTTTACATTCAATTTTTAGTATTTTTTCGACTCCACTGTTTAAATCCTTATAATTGTAAGCTTTATTTTTATTACCTTTCGTCCACTGTGACTCTAGGCTCCACGGGTTGGTCTCCTACCTTATTGCCGATCCAAGAGTGGCACTTGGTATAAGTCGCATCCACTTTACTAGGGTACCCTAAAAACAAGAGCAATCCTTATTCCACTAAAGAGTGTACTTGCCTTTATTGAAAAATAACTTAACTAAAGCTATCAGTCGAATGTTATCAGCAATCCTGCATAGTTCTCCTAGTAAAAGGCAGACTCTTTACACATTTGAGGAGTAACTTAACTTAAGGCATGACCGGATAATAGCCTACATCGCTGTGGTCTTAGCTCGAGCCTTAGATGCCCGAGCTGCTTAACTCAATTAAATAAAAACGTTGCAAGCTAACACAAGCTCGAGCCTCAAGATGGCCGTTCCGATTCGGCTATGGTTTATATATCATTATAAGTACTTCTGGTCCTGTCAGTAGGGGGTTTCTTTACTGCTTTTTATGCTTTAAATCTAATACATGATTTACTCAGCCCCCAGGATAGGGCAATCACTTTTAGGCACAGGAAAGCTCCGAGTGAGGCATACCTGAGGTCGCTTCTTAAATAGCCCTTATTTCCAATTCCGCAGATGCAAATAATTTAAAAGTAAAAGTGCATTGGTATTGGGGTTTACTGAAAAAGTAGTCCTAGGTTTCAAATAATTAATTTTTAGTTTGTCTACTTGCGAGGGTGATTGGTCTAGCGGTATGATTCTCGTTTCGGGTACGAGAGGTCCCGGGTTCGATTCCCGGATCGCCCCTTTGCGTTTTTCGTTCTTTGCCTTTCCTTTTTCTTTAAAAAAAATGGGTCTTTCTTTAACCGACCTACTATTCACATTATTTCTAAACTTTCGCCTCATTACATACCAGTTTTTAAATGTTTAATCTAGCTGTCTTTCATCTTTAATATAAACTAAATCAAAAAAGATTTAAGAATTTAATTTTCAACTTTATGCTAAACTGTAACATAAAAATGATATTTATATAACGTTTTAAACTTAGTTCAGTGAACTTCTCTGCACATACTTGCAGAGTGATTTGTATTTTAAACTTTATTAGTTTGAAATTTGCTCATTATAGTTGCAAAGATTAAGGAAAGTTTACTATTTTATTCGCATAAGCAGAAACTTTGAACACTATTATCTTGTTAGCAATACTTATAGTGGAATTTGCATAACTATATAAGTTTCTGTTAATTTTCATATTTTATCGGGTACTACTGAGTTGATTTTAATTTATGTTAGCATAGTAAAAAGTACTTTTTTTCTTATTTACTTTAAGAGGGTATATAATTTTAATTAAGAAATTCTTTTTAGTAACTCGACAATAAAAAACATTTTAAAAAGTTCCTGTCTTTGTAGTACAAAAAATATTGAAATTAAAAGATGGAAAAAAGTTTCTTTTCAAATCTTTTCAAATCTTTTCAAATCTTTTCAAGTTTTGTTTGTAAATAGGTGTTTTTAATAGCTAACATTCACATTAATTACTTAATAACTTGTCTTTAACTCAGTTTTTTTCCACATAGCTTTCTTTTTACTTATTTCAATCGTGTGACTATCGGCATTTTATATAAAAAAGATACCTCTCCTATGCTTTGTATTTTTCACAGATTTAAAATTTTTTTATATTCGACTTGTTAGAGCTTCGACTTGTTAGAGCGTTAAATTCATTTTACTTTTTTTTAAAACACCGCCTGGAATTAATGATAAAAGATTACAAACTACACCAGCGCTAAGTACTTATGCCTTAAAAGCGAAGATACTTAAAGCTTTTAAAGTAATAATTATTAGTAAAAACATATTACTACGAGAAGCAAATGTTAAAACCTTAATCTATATATTAATAATATAAATTTATACTGCACATTAGCGCTGTCAACAGTGGAAGTACAAGCTAACACCTGTGGTGATTAAGGAGTTTGCACAAAACCATATCGTTAATATTTTAGAGTTAATAATTTATAAGTAGCCCTAATTGAAGTGACCCTTGTCCTCAGGTTGCATGGTGTAACGGCTAGCACGTCAGACTCTGAATCTGGAGATTCGGGTTCGAGTCCCGGTGCGACCTTTTACCTTGACTCTTCATTTTTAGCACCCTTACCGGCTCCTCGCCAGCTTGCTTGTTAGTGTGTTCTCCTTATAATGTAAAATTATAACTTGTTGGTATTTAAAATACAAATCTTACCCTTTCAAAATTATCAAGGTGTGCACTTTTTTTAGTTAAAAGTTTGTATTCATTATTTTTGATTACTTTTTAGTTTTTTAATCTTTGAGTTAACAAAGATGTACTTTATGGTAGTATTAAAGTATTATTAACTTATAATAAAGGCTTCAAGACTTCTAAGTAATGAAAGTAAGTAATTCTAGAATTATTTAATGTTAAAATGTTAAAGAAGCAGCTAACTTTAAATAATAACAGGATAAATTTACAATATTTTTAAAAGTAAAATTTATAATAGGATTCTATTACAATCAATAGCAAAACGCAGTTAATTAAGTTAATTTTAGCAATTGTAAGCCGGCTTTTATATAAAACTAAGACAGTTACATATTAAGTAACTAAGGAGGCTAAACAATGGTGCTAACAGTAAATCCCAGCGCTTATGAGATAAGCTAACCCTAATAAAAATAACAGTAATTTTATCGAGAATGATAAATATTAAAAACGTACGGAATTATTTTCTCGAAGTAAAGGCGACGAATATACAAAAAAGTAAACCAAGTACATAAACATAGGATCTCACTGTCTTTTGGTATTAAAGAAACTGCGTAGCTGTTTTTAGTGGTCAAAAACATCTAATAGAAGTGAAAATAAAAGCGTTTTCGTATTACCAAACTCGAATTCTAATAGCTAGAGATTAATTTTGTTTTGGTAGGTAATTTATTACTAGAATTATTTAAAAATAATAAATATATATACAGAGGTAGCGACTTTTTTAATTAGTGAGTATAGTTTTAATTTACAAATAAATTCATGCTTCTTGAGCGACTTGCAAAAAAATAAAATATTTAAAAACTAGCATATAAGCATTTCATAAACTTGCTGCGGAAAAAGCACGAAAGTAAAAAGTTGACATAAAAAATATAAAATCTTCGGCAGGTAAGTTTCTTCATAATAGTATCAGTGACAATAACAATACCTTATACCTTTAAAAAATATTATTAAGAAATGTACGGCATGTGTTCCACTCTAGTCTCCGTATTAAAACATGTTCTTAATAAATAACATAGCTCACTTTCATATTCTTCAATGAGCTGATATTTTGAAGATTCCACCCCGCAATCACCCTATAAGTATAAAAAATATGAAATCTTCAAAAAAGGATATTAAACTCATACTAAGATGTAGTTTACTATAGTTAAAAGGATAAATTTTTATAATTACTACGGTCTTTAGCCCAAATCCCATATTTTTAATGTTTTTTGGCGGGCTGTAAAAAAATTCCTCTCCAGCCGGAATTAGTTGATATGAAAGACCATTCTTTAAAGAGAGTTCATCCATTTTGATTAACAACTTCTTCAAGTGTGCTTCATTTTTAACAACACCTTTACTCAAATGATCAAAGCATCGAACTTTTGGTTCCATTTCATGCGAGGTAAAATCATCGCAAGATATACTTCTAAGCTTCGACTTTTTTTCAAAAGACATTTGTGGGCCAATTGTTACTAACCCACTGTCTGTATTTAAGGTATCAACAGCCTGGCTTGAATGTAATTTTGATTGGAGGTGTCCATATACAAGTTACCAAAAATACATCCCAAAAGGCAGTTAAAAAAATAATGGTTACCTTTTTAAAGAAATTTATAGTATTCTAGTAATGCTAATCCATAAAAAATACTAGGTTTATAAGCGTTACAGAGAGAACTTTATATATGGCCAATATTACGAAGTTCTACTTAATTGTTGTAATATCTGAACTCAGCTCCGAGTCTCCCAGCCCAATTATGGCAAGTGATCATACTAAATTTTAGCTAACAACGTGGCCAATAGGTGAGAAACCAAGAAGACCCCTCCTAACCCTTTAACTGGTGTACATTTTGCAAATTTGGTCTTGAACGGATAATAACTTCCCTATTTATGTGCAGCGACTGTGATGTAGGTTTTTGTACAAAAGTTCCTAGTACGATAGTGAGGCTTCAAATAAGGTAAACAGGGCGTAATGACTGACAGTATATGAGGATTTATAAAGGCACGGTTACATTTATACCCCAATAGAGAACCATTAAAAAGAATCGTGCTTGTGGGATTCGATCCCACGACCTTGAATTTGTGTCTCAACGCTTTAACTGCTGAGTTAAGGAAGCCGACTCACAATCCCGGTTCGGAGAATTCCTTAAATGACTTTGTAGTATCTTTCAGTCTGAATCTTCAGCTGATATCGAGTGCCCTCATATGTTTGTATAATTTTTCTCACTCTAAAGTTTTAGCCAAGCTTGAGGGCCCCTATTGTTTATTGTGCGCCCCTTAGGCCGGAGTGTGTGGTCGATATCTTAAGTGCCCTAACATTTAGGGCATAGCGGTGTGTGCTTACGGCATATTAGAACATATAAGGATATATTTTTTTAATAACTGTAAGTTATTAATCCATATTATATGATTTACTATATATTAACCTTTTATTTATTTTCTAGAGTTTTTCTTATATCTAGTACTTGTTTAATACTTTTTTTTTTTCCTATTCTTCTTTCTTTTTTGAGTTGCAGCAGAAAGCTCGAAATGCTGATACAGCCTCGAAAAAATCTTAAAGCTTTAAAAAAAATTAAAAGAATAATACTAGCCTTGTAATTTTACCCCTTTTATAGATCCTCAACGCTAGCGGAAATCGATAAAGGAACTAAAGAAATAAATTTATCGGCTAAAAACAATTTTTTGATCATCGTGCGGACCAGCCGTTTATAAAAAGAGTGATAATATTCATTTACCAAGGCTTACCAGATAAAAATATATAGTAGTGATAAACCCTGCTAATAGCCTTAATAACCCTGTAGGCCGCGAAAATAAATAAAGTTATTTATAATAATAATACTAATAATTATAAAGTAACAGCCAAGTGCTAAATACAATATTCCTACAGTTACTTTTAACGATAAAATGAACGAAATAAGGAGTCAAAATTGACAAAAGCATATAGTATTGGGAACTCCCAGCGAAAATAATAATGTAGTTCGAGTTCGAATGTCTAGAAATTAAGTAGAATTTTTACCACTTTATTGAAGTTGGGTATTATTAAATATTATCTAAATCCACTACCTAGGGAGGTACGAAAAGAAATGGAATATTAATAGTATTGCACTACGGGATATCCCTGGTTACCACAAGTATAGAACGCGTTACCTCTTTTAATTAAAATGCTGAGGTTTCAGTGTTACCGTTAAGGGAACGCGGTAGAACTAGTCAATATTCAAGTGCAAGTAATATGGGCGCACAAAGAAAGATTTCATCTCGCAACTTAAGTGCTTTGAGTGCGGTCAACGCCTGGTTTAAGAGTTTGCTTTCGGTGTTATAGAATAGTGGGCCGCTGCTTTTTTAGGGCTGCGTTCTTTTGAGCTTTTATATTTTATGTAATGTCTAACGCTCGCCCAGCTTCAGCAGCGATGTTACAGCATTAGTTTTATAAGTTATAATATAGGCGCTGTAGTTCGACGAGGGTTAGTATACGCGCAAGAAGAAAGAAAAAACCAATGCAAACTGCCTGGGTTGTCATATCGACGCGTAGTAGTGTTGCCAATAATATTGTTAATAGCCAAAGTAACAATGTTTTATATAAAAACTCTTTAAACTTTATTAGTAATGCTTATACTTCTCCGACTTTCAATCTTAGCAACATAGAGGACTCCCAGCGTTATATTAAATAAAATAAAATACCTCTTCGACTTTCTTCAAAAATTGAAAATACAGCTTGAGTAGTGAGAGCTATTTCAATATACAAATCGATTGTAGTAAGCCAGCGCGGAAAAAATAAATTTTTTTATCTTGCGAGAATCATTCTTTATGCAATAGCAGTGCTTTTATCTTTAATATTAAGCATAAACAAGTAATAAAAGCTATTTTACGAATGTTCTTTTAGCACAAATAATATTGAAATGAATAACACTTCGGTTCTCGGTCTCGCTTCAATCGTTTTAATATATCATGAAAGTTAAGTTAAACAGAATGTTTACTCTTGCACCACTTACAATAAAAAAATTCTTTATCAATACTTTTCAATATTGCTCGCGTTTTTAAGTTTAAATTGGAATTTGACTTACATAGCACCGTTCTAACAACCCAAAAATGCTGTACCGTGGCAGTTAAAAAATAAAATAAACAACGGGGCCGACGATTTAAGATGACTTGCTTACGTTTCAGCTTAAACCCAACCACTCAGCTATTTTTAATTCCATTTACTAATTGTCTTGTTTAAATAACTTTTTCATTAAGTTTAGGTCACTTAACAGTTACACTATGACAAAGAGCAAGCAAATTTAGTTAACTTTGCATAACAATTTAGTTTTACTTACTATCGTACGGTATAGTGGACTAAACTATAGCGTTCTAAGGCGAAATAGGTAGAGAGAAGAATAAGGGTTTCACTAAATTATTTTGCGCTAGCATCAAAGGTCTAAATTTGTTAAGTAGGTAGGGCTTTTATATAACATAAAAACAACTAAACTTTTTATTCAGGAGGAATCTAGGATTTCACGTATGCGTACAAATAGAATATAATTCTAATTCAAACGAATCCTAAAGCCAAAAGTACGTGTGTTTAATTTACTTGCTCCCCTCTCGCTTACAAACTATACAAGCTCTGCGCACCAAATAAAAAAAGAAGTCCCCCCCAAAAATTAAATACTTATAAAATACTAATTTGTAAAAGTAAACGTTTGCGATCTTGAGGTTATTAAAATAATTACAAATTCAAGCTATTGGTTGAGCTATATTGCAATAGGCTCGAACGTTATCTTTTTTATTAACTTAAAACACAAGAGGTCATAGCTCCCCATTGTAAGACCAATAAGCAACACTATTGCTGCACATTGACGATGCATCGAATAGCTCCTCCGTCGCGCGCAACATCAAAAGCCTTATTTATATCTTGAAATCCAAATTCATGCGTCACAAACTCGTCTATTTTTAATTGACCATCCATATATTCGTCAACAAGCTTAGGCACAGAATCCCTACTTTTGAATCCTCCGAAAGCGCTTCCTATAAAAGTAATTTCGCATGACCAGACTACTGGTTGCAGGAGTTTCCGAAAAGAAGACCTTTCCACACCCTGCCGGTCACAAGCTGAAAAGGTCGTGTAGAGATTTCCTCCCCCGCAGCGGCTACTCCTATTATCACTGACTGGCCCCAGCCTTTATGGCAACACTCAAGCGCTGTTCTCATTAGCTCTACATTACCAACGCATTCAAAACTATAGTCTGCGCCGCCATCCAGAAGTTCCTACGAAACATTGATAAAAAAAATAAAATATATACATAAATATTACGATTAAGACATCCTTTAATTTCTTGTCGGGATGCGAGTGTGGGTTAACAAAGTCAGTCGCGCCGAACTTCTCTGCGATTTCCTTTTTACTGTCGTTTATGTCAACTGCCACGATCCGAGCAGCAGCTGCTTTAACGCACCCCATTATAACAGCCAGACCCACGGCACCTACTCCAAAGACTACACAGGTGGACTTCGGCTCTACTTTCGCAGTGTTGAGAACTGGGCGCAAACCATTTATTTATCCTGAAAGTATTGTTTTTCACCTATAGGATAACCTGCGCCGTAGCCAGTGGTTATTCCACATCCAAGAAGACATATGCGGTTAAAAGGCGCAGAGTTGTTAACTTTGGCTACTGAAATTTCGGCACATACGGTGTATTCCGAAAAAGTGGAACATCCCATAAAGTGATGAAGCATTTTTCCGCGGCATCGAAAACGGCTTGTTCCATCTGGCATTAAACCTTTCCCCTGCATCTCTCGAATCTACAGAAACTTTAGTCAAGAGTCGCAACACAACTTTATTGATTATTTTTATCATGATTTACTCGATCTAACACAGGATAACCCTTAAGAGTGTGAAAAAATAGAACAGTACGACTCCTTCGTGCGATTTACGAAAACTCAAATTATTAAGAAAATAAACAATTTTTTAAAAAAGTTATGCGACCTACTAAGTTAATATTTAGCAAAACCAAACCTCCAGGCAATAGCAGTAATTAGTAAGCAATTTTAGAATACAGAAGGTAAAAGCTTAGAAGGATCGTTGAAACAAGAAGAATTTTAAAATGTTGTATAAAAAATATACGGCTTTAAGTCGTAAATCACACAAGAAGTTTGCTAAAACTGTAAACATGGTGTCATTAAACACAACAACTTGATGAAAGATTAACTCCCACAAGTGCAAGTGACTTTTAAATACGAATATATATTGCCGGCGTGTAGCCATCCGCTTCAATATAAATGGGCGTCAATAATGGATTATCTACGCAAAAGTTGAGTAAAAAGAAAATCAGAGCTTGCTTTTTAAGATTTTTTATTAACTCGAAGCGTAATCTGGAGAGATGCAGTAATAACTTGAAAAAAAATATATTAAAAAAACGTACAAGTGCAGCTTTGCGATTAACAAGGTTTCTTTTTAAAAAAATTCTAATAGTTAAAGGCTAGGCCTAGTACTCTTAGGCAATATTATTTCATTCAATTATAAAGTTGGTCTTAAAAACTTCCATAGCAGACAAGGTTTTAGCAATCTAAACTTTATGTTTTAGATCAAAAAAATAAAACTTACGGGTGATTTGTAAAAATTGTTTGACTATTAGCGGAAAAAATATTATGCACTAAAACTCTTAGTTTACAAATATATTTTATTGTCCAAGACGCGAAAAACATTAATAGCCTAATAGTAACTTATTAATATAAAGCTTCTTATATTAGGTCAAAGTTTTAGACTAATATCTAACTGCAAGTTTAATTTGGTGCTTATTTGTATTAATGTGTGCTTATAAAAGCGCAATGCATCTTAAACCGGACAACGATCTTAATATTGAATCAATAAAGCAAAAATTATACCTTACTGCAAAGATTTGTCTTTTCACTTCTGCAAAATTTGCAGGCTTTGCACTGAGGGGTGTACAACGGTATGACATGATCACCAACTTCTAAACTAGCAACCTTTTTGCCCACCATTTCCACAATTCCGGCCCCTTCATGGCCTAAAACGCATGGAAAAACACCTTCGGGATCTGCATCACAAAGTAACAAGAGAATTATTAAGGCTATAAGTTGACTTAACAACCTTTTCCTGTACGAGTATACTCATCCGTGTGGCAAACACTAGTAGAAACAATTTTAATCCGGACTTCTCCTTCTTTAGGTGGAGCCACTTCTATAGTTTCAATTTGTAACCTGGAACCTGCCTCCCAGCATACGGCCGCCCTACATGCGATCACAGGCATACTCACTTGTTAAAGAAGACCGCTAAGGTCTCTACAATAAAATTACGCTTCATTAATACCAAATAATAATAATACCATCTAACTGGGTACCAACTAAATCCCTCCTATGTAAAGAGTGGTTCCTATTTATCGACATAATAACCAAAAACTACAAACTAAAAACATTTGGCGCGTTTTACTAATTTTTAGTCGAAATCTAGTATTTTGTACTTCTCTATCTTCTTTAGTTACACATATATTGTTAACTATTTTTTTAATTTTATTTCTTATTACGGTATTAATATCCTTTTAAAAGAATTTAACTATTTACTAAATTGAAAAAGTTTGACTAGCTAAAGGATTAGATGCGACAAACTAAATTTATACTGCTTAGGCGTGTATAAATAGAGATTCCTGTTTATAATTATTAAAGCAAACTGTCATTTTAAATTGTTTTGGCGCTTATTGTAGAGTCGCGTTCACTTTTTTTAGGTCTGAGCTTTGATCTTGGTCACGTGCTCAATATATATCATGTTTATATACTTCGTAATATTGTAAAACTTAACTTTCCGCAACCCCCACGTCGGCCGGCGAGAGACGAATTAAGCGGTCATTAGTACTAGTTTTGAACACTTTCCCGGAAAAGGGCCTGCAACTACGTATTCCAATCACTTGTTACCCGCCAGAAAGCGTTGAACTGATGTGTAGGTGTGACTGCACAGGAAGTATCATCGCTCCACGTTGCGTCAAGTGAAAAAACCATATAACGATGCAATCTGATGCTTACGAGAGGCCCAGCAGGTGCGCTAACTGCGACGAGACCTAATCTGCAAACTGCCAAGAGTATTCAACAAACTCAAAAATTGTTTCTCCGCTACCAGCACGTCAATCCCAACTAATAACGCCGGCGATCTCTTTGCAGCCATGATGACACAAAAGCATCACAACCCTTAACATTTATAGCAACGACATAGTTTTTAAAACAACCAGTAAAATACTGGCACTACTTGCGCCTTCTCTTGAAACATTTTAAGGCAAAGCAGTTTGGCAACCGTAAAGGTAATTATAATGCGCCCATTGTGCTGTCTGAAGCTCATGCAGTGGTCGCTTACAAAGTGCACTACAAGAAGGGTGACTACTGCAACTTTTGCAAAGTGTACTGTGAATGACGCGCTGTAAAGCTAGAGGGCATCTGAAAGCGGACGGTTGGATGGTGCTCTGGAACACAAGTTGTATACGCGATTTATCGACCGAAAATGTACGTTGCCATCGAAGCTCAGTGGATAGAGCATTGTCTCGCAAACTCAAGGCCACGGTGTACAACTCCCCTCTTCAACTACAAACGTACCCTCTTGGTAGACGCCTTTTCTGGTTCAACGAAATTTGACTGCATCATTTGATTGCCTTCGTAACTTAAAAGGTCATAAAGGCTGAGAAAAATATTAATAGAACGAAACAAAGTAAAAAAGAATAAGAAATGACCTTATTTCAGGTTTTTAAATGCTTCTAAACATAAAATTTCTAAATTTTTCGGATAAATACCTATTATTTTGAGATTTTGGTAGCTTTTAACCAATTAAAGTTATTTAAATTTCCTTGAGTCTAATAACGATACAATAATCCATCTGTGGATGGCACCCCTTAGTCTCAATTCCCTGCCGAACAAGTACCGAGAGACACCGGGGATAACAAACGTGATGATGTTTGTGTGGTATTGCTTGATACTTTTATAAAGTCATCCGTTCGCTTCAAGCTTTTTATATCAACTTCGGTGTTTTTGACACGAGACAGACCAGTCTGGTATCGGTCTACAAATCCCCGACAGGTCGCTGCTTCAACGTAATTTACCCACCGTTCGCCAAGGCGATTTTTACTGCAAACCCGCTGCTTAAAACAGTCGAATTAAGAACTTAAAGGAAAAATACTTAAGTACGCAGACTAACCCAACCTTCGCGTGCAGGTTACTCAACCTCTAACTCACTGATAAAAACAGAAACTTCGGATGTCTTCGACATTGCCGTTATTAAAGACCTTAAATTGGTTCCAATCGCCGAGTTGGGTGTTCTCCTGCCCGTCTTTCAAGGTCGTTATATGTTTGACTGACTACTTTTATAAAACTTAAATGGTCATTGTATCACACGTTGGAAAAAATGATAAAGCTACAACTTTATATTGACACATAGTTAAAAATTTTTTTTACGAACAACGTACGAAATAAAAATTTTTATTCGCTCATGTTATATTTATAGCCATTTAACTATATTTTGCTATGACATACATGGTGCAAAGATGTTAACACACAGACTAATAAAATATATAAGTCCAGAGACGCGATTTTCTTAAATAAATTTTTTTAGTACAATAAAATAAGAAAAGTCTACCTTATTAATGACGCAGCACAACAATAAAATTAACTAAATTACCACCATTAATATATTTATAACAACGTCAAAGTTTTAAAAACTTTTTAAGGACAACTAATATATGCTTATATAAAATGAAGACTAAAGAATAAATATTAAACTAAATAATTAGTTAATAGAACCCACTCTAAAAAGCCTAGAATTAAAACGCTATCATTTGGAAAACTGATAATATATATAAAAACAATGCATTCACATTACAGTAGGGATAACCACCGCACGTATCATAAAGCAACCACTAGAATGTATATATACAAGGGCTACTGAACTTAAAAAAATAATATAAGTTACAAAGCAATTATAAATCAGCTAAGGATCGCGATTTTACAACCCTATCGAAATCAAAAAACCACAAGGTTAATGGCCATTAAAAAAACTTCCACTTAAAACGCAATATAAAAACAGCCCTAACAATCTAAACCATTTGCATACAACATAAATTATTAAAAAAATCATATTTAAATCCTTAAACCTCTAAATTTAACAAATGATTGTAACTATAGGGCATAACTCCATAAGTGTTAATAAGCGTTAATATTAGGACTCGATCCCATTCCTTAGGATGAGCTGGACGGTCTTTGCATAACAATTTACAAATACGTTATCCGATCAAAATTTACTTGAAACCTTTAATTTAGTTTTTAACCACAACACACATGAAAGCAATTTAAATCTAATTAAAAGAAAATATATGCGCCAAACTGTAGGCATAACGAAAATGCCGGTATGAAATAAGCACCACCGCATAGGTAGGCGTACTGTCCGGAGATCATTAACATGTGAGATGCTAACATAAACACCGTCGGTGACGATAAACCAACCTAAGTGTTTAAAAAGTAAGGCCACTGCGGTGACACTGTCGAAGGCACGATGACCTGTACCAGGTGTCAACTTTAGTGTTCATTCTTTGTATTCGTAGGGAGCGCAATTTGCTGGATGCACTTTTGGAAACTTTTGCTTACGTAGGGAGTTGCGAAAGTGCACTTGTAAATTAAAAGCTTGTATTAAGACTCCTTTCAGACTGCCATAAAATTGTTTCGGGTCGTTGGTCATTAAGTGAAAGTCTGTCTATGGTAAAGGGTGTGTATATTATGTCCTCGCCCAAAGTTTTCATTAAATCCAAACTGTTGTAATACGCCTTCTTATTAAGTTGGGTGGTGTTTGCTTAAAGCGTTTTACTAATCATATTTTTAAGACAGTTTTTCGGCGTAGTAGGATTATACTTGGCATACTTCCGTATAATTTCTAATAAAAAAGTTCCTACTCCTATTTTTTTTGCTTCTTATAAGTTTGTTGTGTTCAATAACTCATTCTGTGGGCGCGGTTTTACGTTTACCCCTTAATTTAACGAATATTATGAGCACTACTTTACATTCAAGGCAATTGTGGTATAGTTGTTTCCGAGTATATATGTAAGGTTCCATTTGGGTAGTACGCCAGGTTTTCAGTTTTTCCCGTAACTTGAAACGGCCGGCTTTTTGCTTTCCCAAATTGCTTGCCATCAAAATTAACTTGTTACTGAATTGTCGAATTCCTAGATTTATACGACGGTTAGGGAGTATGCAATATGGTTAAATACGTCAGTCAACATATCGGGATTAAAGTTGTGGTGGCGCAGCAATACAGTTATGAATTCAGTTTTCACCCACGAGATCTTCTATTTAGGTCTCTGACGGTTAAGTATTTAAATTTGTTCTTCTACAGTTTGTTTTACTATTAAGTTAGCTTGGTACTTAATAAAAGTGTTTTTTAACTTGTAGTTCGACCCGGTAAAAAAACCCGTGTATTTATTAGTTCATACAGATCGCCTAATAGCTATTTTCATTTTTATCTAGTTATCCTATTAATATTTAGTGCATGGGCTTTGTATTTAGTTCTTTCACCAAAAATCATACCCGGGTAACTTGGGTAACTTTTTCAGTAAGTTTTTCCATATTATGAACTCGAATTACTGCGAGGCCTACCTTAATTGCTAATAGAATTTAAAAAATAAGATGAAAACAAATCATAAAAATATAATAAATAATCAAAAAAATAGGTTAATAAGTTAAAATAACCATACTGAAATTTTTTTTTTTTAGATAGAGCAACTAAATTTTGTGAGCTTTACCTGCCCGCACTAGTTTACGGAAAGTATAGCAAATACACAGACTGTCAAGCCCCCTCAGTATGGATAAACCTATAATAGTTCGAGGTTTTACAGCCTCCCATTTATCTCCGTGAAAGCATCGTTGCGTACCTTTTTTTCTTCTATTCTCGTAAGTGTTGGCTTACGCTTTTTAATAATTTTTTTTTTAAAATTGGGAGTTTATTCACACTATTGAGGATCCAAGCTAGTATTCGGATGGCTGAACCTAATTACTTTAGCCTTGAGAACCAGACAACTACTGAACAACTTCTCTTCTCTATTTATATCAACGCTTCTATTGGAGTTTTATTATTCCTAATATTTATATTCACACGACCTCATCGACCTGATTTATATAGCCCTAAAAAAAAGAAGTACTGTCTAACAAACACTTATGTCTAGTTCTTTTAATTATTAATTTTTATAGTCCTCTGCTACCTCGTACTTATGTAACATGGCTTTATAAACTATTTAAAATAAAGGATGATCAGGTTTATGAGAGTGCAGGTTTTTTTGTTTGATACTATAATTATAAACCACGTTTACTCATAGTATGTTAGGTATTGATGCGATTGTCGCCGTAAAGATAACGAGACTTGGGCTGCGATTTTGTCTTTTTTCTTTGTAATTTTTTTTTTTTACCGTTTATCTTTTAAAATATAATAACACTTATAGTTATAATAATATGTTTAAATTTTTCAATTAAGACCCGTTGCTTTTGGGGTTGTTCTTCCTTTGAATTATTTTGGCCATGCTCAACAGAAAGGCTTTGATCAGTTTTCCATGGCTAATATTGGTATCATGCTTATTGAAAAAACAACTTCTACTTAAAAATTTAGAGAATTCATTTAAATTTTTAAACATCTGTTTGGGCACAATAAGCTCGAATAAAATCCGTTAAATTTATTTTTGATGGTCTTATAGCAATCTTAATTTAAATCTTATCTATTACCGAATAGAATAATAGATCAACCATTAACAGATTTAAGGATGTTTTTTTTATTTATACCTTCCTAATATATTCTTTAATTTAGTAAAAATTAAAGTGTTTATTTTTTTTTTAGATTCTTCCGATCACGGCCTGCTTCCGGTTCATTGCTTAGCATTGTACTATTTTACAGCTGTGCTCTTTTGGCTGCTCCACTCGCAAAATATGGACTTTGTTAAGCTTCGCATGAAATATTTGCAAAAAGGCAGCCCACAGCAGTATTCTATTCTCGTAAAAGGCGATGATGTTGAGCGTTTCGATGATCAGGGAATTTACGCTTTGTTCTCCGACTTGTACCCTTCTGCCGTCCGGGAGGCCAAAATTATACAGTTTCCCTACGAGCTTAAAAAGGCCGTTAGGAAAAGAGATAATGTTTTAAACAAGCTAGAAGGTTATATGTGGCGCTACGCAACGTCCTCCAGCGCCAAAAGAGCTACTTTAAAGAAAACTGTTCAGGGCGTTAGAAATTACGTCGACGCCATTCAATTTTACACTAACAAACTCGAGAGGTTAAACGAGTTGGTCAAACGCGAAAAGGAAAAGCCTCACGAGATCTTGGGCGTCGCGGGGTTTGTTACCTTCCGCACTCTTCAGGCTGCCACGCATGCCGTTCAATGTATTCACGTGGAGCACCTACTGTCTCTGGTTGTCAAGTCAGCCCCTGAGCCACGGGATGTGTGCTGGACTAACGCTAGCGTTCGACCCAGAGTAAGCTTGCTGAGGTTACTGATAATGAAATTTGCCACCGCCATATTGGTCCTCCTATGGATACCTCCTATTATGTTTGTACAAAGTGTTGTGTCTGTTAGCAAACTGTCTTCGTATTTTCCCAGGTTACACAATTTCCTTGAGGCTCATCCTAAAATTTTAGCCTTTGTTAGTGGGGCTCTCCCCCCCTTAATTCTCCTTGCTTTCATGTCCTTGCTACCATTACTGTGCTGGTACTTGGCTAAAGCTGAGGGTTATGAGGCATATAGCTGGATCCAACTCGCGCAGATAGAAAAACTTGGTTGGTTTTATGTAATTGATGTCTTTATGGTTAAATTTTATGCGGGAACATTTATAGCCACGTTTCAGAGTATTCTCCAGGATCCTCAGCATGTACTGCGTATATTAGGAAACGGCATGCCTAAAATAGTCACTTTTTTTATAAATTACGTCTCAGCTTTAGGCTTCATAACAATTCCTTTAACTGTTAGTAAGATAATACCTCTTGTATATCAGTTTTTTTTTCTTCGCTGTCGCAACTTAACACCTAGAAAGAAGAAACTGGTTAAAAAATTGCCTCCTTTTGATTTTGCCGCTTTTTATCCCCCTTGCTTTCTAGTGCTAAATGTCACCATCTCTATGGCTGTAATCAATCCTTTTATTTATGTTGCTGCTCTCTTTTACTTTATAATGGCGTCTTTTCTGGTGAAGTATGAGCTGCTTTACGTCACTGAACAAAAGTTTGAGAGTGGTGGTTGGGTATGGCCGTTTTGTGTAAAGTTTACATTTATAGGGATGATTATATCACAGCTCACCTTACTAGGAATATTAATCTTAAATAAATCCTATTTGGCCATAGTTGCTTGCTTGTTACTTATCCCCAGTGTATCTTTTTATATATTTGAAAATAAATTTCTTCAAAAACCAGCTCACTACTTACCGACCACAGTTGCCTTGGCAGTGGACAGAAGACGTGGGTACCGGTCGCCCAACTTGGGCACTCCTTCACCCGATACAGGGTGTATTTACATGCACAGGTTATTTTCCACTCCTAATAGCGTTTCCCCTGACGAAGAAATCTTAGAGAAATATAAAGCTAAACTGGAAGAGGTAAATTGCAAATTGTAGTCTGGTAATCGTTGTTGGACAATTATCGCTTTAATTGGGGAGAGTAATTGTTTATTCAGTAAAATTTAAAAAAAAATTTGCAGAAGTTTTCTTGTGGTTAAAAATAGCGCCCGTCCTGTGCTTTAAATTTGTTTTATGGAATTATACTTTATCATTTTCAAAATTACTTTTAACGCCAAAGCTTAGAAAAGTAGAATACACTGCGGTTCCTTGACTATTTTTTTTTAACTATAATTTAATTTATTTGGATTAAATTTTTTTTATTAAAGTTCAATCTTTCTTGATGGCCTATATTAAGTTTTTTGGGAGTTCTAAAAACAAATAAAACTGCCCAAGCTGTACCTTACCCTTGTTATGAAGTAGGATCCACTTCTACAGTTTAAGTTAATTTTTAATAAAGCGCGAAGAGGAATTCTTTGGCTAAAGGTTGGCACTTTCTTAGATCGAATGTACAGAGAGGATAGTTACATTGAATTAACATTTTATTAATAATAACTTATTAAAAATAATAAAAACGGCGAATTTCTTTGACTCCTTAACCTTTTATACTATTTAAGGTTTGCATCAATTAAAGTTTGACTTGTATATATAGCGGGAAGCAAAAATAACGCTATGAATGTTATTTGCGTTTAACAAAGGAGTGTAATTGTATCATGGTCTATACCGTTACACCTCTTTCCTAAAAGTTTGCAAGCAATTACTTGACGAGCTTGAGGCTACCACCAGCACACGCCTTTGTATATACTTTGTAAAATAAAGCTACTATACTCTTTACAAACGACAGTCGAAAGAGCGGAGTTCAGATAATAAAAATTCGAAAGTAAATATCTTAAATTTAAAAACAAATACGGCCACTTAATAAAGCTAAGCTATTAAGACAAATTAGAAGTCTTTAGCGCCGTCCTTTGGGATTATTTCACACGTGTTTCCTCTATCTCTAATAAAACAATTTAAGAGTATTTCTTTAACAGTATTTCTTTAAACAAACTTGGTCGATTTCATTTAACAAAACTCTAATAAACTGCAATCACTTCAAACGAATGCTGTGTTTCATTCCATTGTCTCAAGCTTAGCTGGAATGTCTATTAATACGTTTCCACTATATATTCGACTAACATGGGGACGCACCGCTTACTAGGGATATTTTAATTGGGACTAATCCTTCTAAAACTGACATACTGCATAGCACTTTACGGTTACTGGAATTCCACGGCTCCAACGAAGGTAGTAATAAGTAATTGATACTTGGTATTCTTCCATTTCCCAGGCAAAAACTAACGATTGAAACAATTTGACTAGTAACGAAGAGGAACTAGTTGTTCTAGCAATTAGCCGTGCGGCAGGGGGCTAGGTGCATTACCATCCGGGTGTCCACTCTAGTGAGTAAGCAAATTAATGGATTTAATTCTAAACGAGTTCGATATTATAAACAACCTATCTCAATTTATTTTTTAACCATGTTACCATCTTTTAAAGAAAAAGGTTATAATAGACCACTAGTTCATGACTAGCAGAGGAGTGCACCACAGGGCCCGTTTTAAACCCCTATGCTCTTTCCTATCTGCATATCTGAGCTACTCGACGCCGGAACACTAAACTCAATCATTCTGTAGGGAATATAGCAATATTTTCATCTTTTAAAAGCACAACTTGGTTGCTTATAAATTGTAAATACCTTTAAATATAGGAAAATGGTGAAATATCGTATTAAATTAACAAAACTGTCAAGAGGGAAATACTTAGGATAACCGACTGGCTGTACATGAACTCCCAAACCGACCAACTATATCTACTAACTCAGGAGCAAGGAACAAGAGACTTGCAATTGGGGAGCAAAATCTTACAAATTTTTTGTGAAAAAGGATTTTATATAAACACAAATAAAAATAATACCTCAAGGAGGTTGTTAAACCGATTAAATATGCATAAAATGTATAAAGGCATTGTTAACTAAAAATAAATTAGAAATACGTAACTGCATATTTCATTTTAACAAAAACCAACTCATTATTAATATTACCAAGGGCAAGCTGCGGAAGAAAAGGTTGCTTATTTACGACACCAAGTTTCCCGGGTGTTCCGAAGCTATAAAACTTGGGGTATTAACAGATACTAAACATAAAATGAAATAAATATATCCACTATACCATTTAAGAGGGAAAAATCTTTGAGGTAATAACATACATGCCTATACAGAAAAAACCCTTTTAGTTAAATAAACAAAATGCCAATAAAGGTGTTCGCCTAATACCGTTTTAAATTTCACACTCACTGTCACAAGTTACCCTCAAGATTGCAGGTTTATCACATCAATTGCTTCGTATATTTACAAACTCTCCATGGTCGTTAGCAAATGCTAGCCACATCGTATCTTAAGCTTCGAAGGAATAAAATACATACATTAAGTCGACGCCAAAATAACTTTTGCTAAGGTAAGCACCCTCCAAAACACTCTAATACAAAGTGCTATAAGTTACTATGACAAATATAGGGAATACCCTTATTTTCGGCATCAAATGTCGAACTGAGCCTTAGCTGTCCTTAGGGGATACCTAATAAATTTAATCTGGCGAATTTACATTTGATAAGGAAGCAGCCAAAAGCTATAGTTATTTTGGCTGCATATTGTTATTGGGAGATAAATAAATATTATGTGGCCTGCGTAATTCTGAGTACTGGCCCCTCCTTTTTTTTACACTGTGACCCCACTTTTAGTTCGCTTACTTATTGTTAACTTTTAACTAACGAGTCTATATGCCTTTAATCGGCTATAAGAGAGATAGAGTTTTTTTTACTCTTTTTACAATCAGGAGTCGTCCCAAGTCCCTCTATTCTGTTCTAATTATCTATTATTTTGAATAACATAAAATTATAATTGACACTTTTCTTTTGGTTGTACAAAGTCCTTCTATTTTCATAGAAGTAACAACCCACGGCTAAGGTGGTGCCAGCCTCTGCACAGTTTTGCAGATTGGGCTTAAATCTCGTTCGATCGTTTGTATAACTTAGCATGGGATGTGCTGTTTAGTACAACTTATATAAGACACCGGCAACACACTTTGTGGAAAAAATAATTTCGCATCATGCAATTTTTTTTTCATATTTCTAGGGAAGAAAGCATTAAAAATGAAAATTTTAAAAACTAACTGAACCAGAAAACAAAATATATCGTTGATGATATGACAAGTCCTTTAATTTAAGATAATGACATATAGTGCACCTTTGTGTACGTATTAAAAAAAAACATCTGTTTAAATATTATACATATGTACGTTAATCAAAAAAAACTACATTTCTTTAGCTATTAACTTTTTCTCTTTGTCTTGTAAAGTTTGTAATTTCTTTAAAAATATATTGTTTTAACCTAACAGAAATTCATAAATTTCTATAGATGTATGCGCCGAACTAACCGATATTAGTTTTAAGTAAATACGTATATAGAATTCGAAATTAGAGTTATAATGACACACTTAAATTAATAAATCGCATTATAAGAAAAATAACGTTTAGCATAAGGGGGAGGGAGGCGTTAGTTTCCATAATCAAAGATATATACTTGTAGGCTGACAAATGCTCTGCAGTAAAACGTTTAGTGGTACTCATCCTGAATTTTTATTTACATTTTTTGGCACTATTTCGGGTTAATTTTTTAGCCACAAAACCCAACATGGTTTTTAAAGTTAAAGGCTGCGATCATTAAATAATTTCGCAATTAAGAGGGGCGGGGAAAGGTATAACGTAGTTAGTCAATTGCGTTAAATAATAATGCTACTTTTTCTTAGATAACAAGGAGTTTATATATATACAAAGGAAGAGAACATTAAGCAAGGACAAAGAAGACAGTGCAGATGCCTTTTCATAAATACCACGTAGCGAATTAATAAATGCTTGCCGCATGGAAAGTATAATTTTTACATCTTGTATCAAAAGCTTTATAGACATAACCTTATTTAATTAGGTAAATGATTGCTCTTTTAAAGTAATAAGAAGTATATTATTATATATTTATTAAACTCCTTTTTTTAATTATAATGTGTTATTTAAGTTTGTACTTTGATGGGGAGTTGTTGTTCAGCGAGTGTCCCTCTTGCTATACCCCAACTCGTCCTCCCGCCCAGAGGCTTAGGAGTTATTTTAGTAACTTTTTTTCGTGATAGCATTTTAATAATTAAAAAAAATATATAATCAAAAAAAAACGCATATTAAACAGCAGTTCCGAAGTATTTCGAAAAACATTGAATCAATCTTTTTTAAATTACCATATGGGATTTTTCTGAATTACAATTAAAATTTAGTAAATTTTGGTTTCCTTTTTTGTAAGAACACAAGAGATTATATTTTTGCTTGTACTTTGCTATTTGAAAAATCTGCCTATTCGTTAATAAATCTTTAACACGTCAGACCAAAATAATCACTCCCATGATTTTGCGTCCCGGAACTTCTAGAAAGAACACCCAATCCAAACTTCTGATCGCTGAACTTTGTTATTAACCCGTTTATTTTGGTTTAGTCAGCGTAACTGATTTAATTTAGCACAGAATATAATAATTAATTATTTAGTATTACAATATTGTTATGGGACCCATTGTTTTTAATAATTTAGTTTTAATATCACCCAAAGAATTTAATTGCTAAACTATGGTGTAGATGTACATTTTTTATTTAAAAGAATGAATAGTGAGATGTTCTAACTAGAAGGTTTAAATTTACTAATTTGCTATAAGGAATAATTTAAATGAAAAACATTTTTAAGCAAGGTGTTAAAACTTTTTAATTATTATATTATATTAATATATATTTTTACTAAGCTTATTACTAAAAATTATCACCCTGGCGCTTTTAGGCTATGTATTCATACTTTTAAAAATAAAGAAGTACCTACCGAAAAAAATCTTAGTAAATTAAAAAAAACAATTTTTAAACATTGGTATTATTGCTCATATTGATTAAAGTACTTAAGTTAATGCCCGCTCACCCATGTTTATTACCATCTATGTGTTCCCTCAAAGTCTACAGTTCACGTAAAGGCTGCAATATGGTGCTCGCTGTGTATTGTTTTTTTTTTACTCTAAGTTATATATTACAAACTAAAACTCTTATAAACATATCCATATCTTGTCGGTACTTTACCAAGTTATAAAAAATTTTAAAATTAATCTTGTATACTTTGTATACGATAACCTATAAGATTCTGAATTAAAATTATAATTTTAACCTTTTTTAATGAAATAATAAAGAAAATCTGCTATAAGCATAACATATATCATTCTTGTTTACTTGCCCGACATACTATTATTGAAAATAAATATTTTTTTTACTGTATTTATGAGGAATTGGTAAAATAGAGGTGATATTTGTGTTTAAAAAACTTGACTTGGTTAGTCATGGGTTCTTAAGCAATTTTCTTAACTTTTTTTATTAAAAAGTTTACTGAACTCTTTTTAAATAGCCAAGATAATAACTGGAAGGCTTAAAAATTAGCTATAATATTTTGCTACAGATTTTTATTTCTAAATATAAGTACTCAATTATTAATATCAAATCCTAATAGGCTTGGTATTAGGTACTGGATGTCTACAAGGCATGAATGCAAACAAGATGGAGAAATATAAAAAGTATAATTAAAGTTTCAAGTAAACCATATTAAGTAAAAAAATTACATAAAAATAATCTTTATTTACTTTCAAGCTTTTTCGCAGTCCCTTTAAGTTTATGTATCCAGCTTTAAGAAACATAATAAGCGTTTAGGATACTTATGCACTTCTATAAAAGTTATACAAAAACTTATGCATGCCTTAACAAAAAAATCTTGATATCGATATGTAAATTGTAACACCTGGAAGAAGAGTGTTTATCGGCGAGAAACAAAACTTTAACCTTGGTTTAACAGGTCAATTTTTTTATTTATTGAGCTCCGGTATTAACTTTTAATTCACAAGTAATCTGTTAAAATAGTTTTTGTGGCTACTGCGTACATGAAAAAATTAACTTAAACAACTTTACTATAAAAACATATAAAATAGTAAAATCTATTTTTTAGCAAGGTTGGTCTTTCATTACATAAACGAAATAAACTGACTAAGTTCGATAAATAAATCATCAGTAACTACAAACCTGTCCAAATATTGGTTGGCGAATATGCCTAATCAGGTAACGCATTTTCTTATCACGTTTTCGGGAGGAAATCAGACTTTAAGAGGGATTAATTTTGCTAGTTTAAACTTAAACCTATTAAAAGCAGGAACGAGTTTTGCTAAATATGACTTCAAGTTCAACAGAACCAGAAGAAAGGTTTTAAGTTAATGCTATCAATTGTAGAAAGAGTTTTCAATAAAAAACTTAGATAAATATTATTAGATCAGTTGAGACCTATAAGATTGTTAACGATTTTATTACACAGGGTTTCTCAGATTGAATTTTGGAAGTTAAATAGTGTTCAGGTTACTCTTCTTAATAATAAAAAAATTTGAAATATCACAACTTTTCGTTATAAGGCAAGTATAGAAGAAATGCTTTTGGATTCTCGAGCAGAAGAAATATCTAAATTTGAGGTTCCCGAAATTTTGGGTTATCTCGGACCATTTGTTAAAGAACTGAAAAGAACGAAGGTCCATTAGTCTTGTGTAGATATTGAATTTTCAGAGTTCTCGTTAATCGAGATTGTTTATATATAAAAGGGTAAAGTCAGAGCAATTGAGTTGGGAGCTGGGATAGGACGTTTTACTGGTTATTTAGCCGATCTTTGCAGCCTACTAACTTCAGTTGACTTTATAAAGACTTTTGTGGATAAAAATCGTAAGGTGTTTTGCCTTTTATTTTAAATCCTTTTTTTTAAATAGATAAAATTGAGGCTTTTTGTGGTTTATAAAAGCAATAGTTTGATATTATTAAAGTGAGACCGTTAAACCCAAAACAAAATAAACACTTATTTTTACTTCAAGATATCTGCTATCTTTTGTTATAATGAAAAAAACTTTTGCACACTTTACTTTTAAAGATTAACGGCCACCGAAAGAATGTTACGTTCCGCCAAGAAGATATTACGTTATTGGAAAATCCCCGTAACAGTTTTGAACTAGTCTTTTCCAACTGGCTATTTATGTACCTTTCGGACTTCGAAGTTGTACAAGCGTTTTTTAAATTAATTGACTGGCTAACAGAAGGTTATTTATATTCTCACTTCTTTTTAAATCTAACACTTGACATCTCTTAGGAGGAATCTTTTTTTTTAGGGAATCCTGTTACCATAAATCAGGGGATAGAGGTAAAAGCTATTTTATAATAAATAATACAGAATCAAACTACTATTGACTTCTTTGTTTTTAAAGATTAAATGTAAAACTTACCTCTTACTAATAATAAATCAGCTTATGTTTAATTAAGTTCCAAGTTAATGAGGTTAAATCACTGCGAAATTTTAGGAACGAACTATTATTATCAGTCGTTAGCAAACTTAAAGAGAAAAAATTTATATAGCAAAGTTTATTCGCAGTATACTTCTTTGAATTTACGAACATCTACGGTATTAGGAAAGGGATAAATATTAGTACAGAAAAAAGCTGATAAATTTCCTTTAAGTTAATTGCTTGATTTTTTCATTTATGAGGATCCTCTTTTAAAAATCCCACACACTATCGAACGCCTGGGGACTATCAACGCCTTTTATATCTTGCTAACTTGCTTTACAAAGACGCATCTACTTGTTTCAAACTTTGCACGGGTTGTTAATTCACGTTCAACAAGCACGCTCCAGATATTAAAATTTTAATTTATAAGAATACGTCGTTAAAGCGTATGTAAAACTGAAAAATAACGGAAATCAGCGGGTTTTTGTTTGTCGAAAAGTGGTTGAACAAAAAGAAAAAGAAATCTCACAAGGTACGACAGCCTACTTTAATAAACGTGTCTCTTCTTTATACTAATACTTAATACATTTTTAGTTAACACGTTGATTCACCTTTTTTGTAATTACTAGCTCTTAGCGCTCAGCCGTTATGCCTAGCCCATCAATAAATTTATTAAATTTAAAATACCTATTGCCGTGTCAATTTTATTTTTAGAGGCTCTTTTGTCTTTTAAGTCTGTTAAGCTTGCAGACAATTAACGGACTTAAATAAATAAAGTGAGATGTTCACAAAGGAGTGTGACTGCTGGCTAACGGTTGAGACCAAGCTAACCTAGCCTTTTACCATTTTTTTAACGGGCATCTTTAAGCTTTTCAGGAGTTCCTAGACAGTCAACAATATTCTGTAAATAACATTAAGCGCTACGAGCAACTGTTTGGTAAAGGCTTTGTCTCCACCGGTGGACTAGAAACAACGAAGGTATACTATTTCTTTCAAGGTTTTTAAAATTATTACCAACAATTCGTTTTGTTAATACCTTAAGCCAATTGCATAGTTCGTTGTTAGTTTCCCACTAATTTTATTGTACACATAATTGTGTACAAGCAAAAAGTGTATATAAAGTTGCTTGGCCGAAAAACTTCCCGGTAGCAATCGAGTATGAGCTTTCAACGTTGCCTGCAAATATAAGACGTGTCTTATTACATTGCGAATGTCTTAAGCTCTAAAGAGATGGAAGTCGTTATTCCTACCTTGATAATATGAAAATTTTTTCTTAAATTTTTTTAATTTTAATGTAAACACGTTAAATTGTTCGTTACTTACTTTGCTCCTCTAAAATAGTATTAAGACTGCATTCGGTGTAATTAGTAATTTTAAATAGGAATTCGCCCTTCTTTTAGATATAAAAAAAGATGACTTCATTCTTGACGTAGGGTAAAATAATATTGCTACTTTCATAAAACTTTCACAACTCTAATTTTGCTTCAGATCAGGCATCGGCGGCAGTGCACGATACTTCGCCGAGACTTTCGGTTCGCACGTTTTGGGAATTGATCTTTCCAGAAATATGGTTTCCGTATTTGCCTTCTATTTTAGTAGATCTAACTTTTTAAAAACAAAATGAGGTCGCTCTGGCAAAAGCAAACGCTGAAGATTGTTCTCGAGTGAACTTCAAAGTCGAAGATTGCACTACCGTCGTTTTTCCCGACAACTGCTTTGACATTATATACAGTTAACTAAACTTATTTCATACTTTCGAATTGTTTATGATTTAAACAAGGCAGAGACACCATACTTCACATCCAGGACAAGCTTAATCTGTTTAAGAAATTCTATGTACGTCGACATAATTTGCTTAATGAAAGCTTTTGTAACTCGTTCTGCTATAGAGTTGGCTTCGTCCTGGAGGGCGTCTTTTGATTACTGATTACTGCCGAGGAGAAAGTGAAGGAGACGATGAATTTAAAGCATACGTTAAACAAAGGGGATACGTTCTTCTGACTGTTAAGCAGTATTACGAGGTACCCCGACAAATTTGGTTTTATTGAAGTAACACCTTATTTTTTCTACTGAATAGCACCTCTTACAGGCGGGATTTGCAGAAGGCATCTCGGAGGACCGAACGGCGCAATTCATAGAAATATTGGAAGGAGAAAGAGCTCGCTTAATGCGTAGCAAAGTTGCCTTTTTAACGGTTTTTTTTATTTTATATCTCGGAATGACTTCTGCGATACTTACTGACTTTGCTAAAGGAATTTACCGAAAAGGACTACCGCGAACTTCTGGAAGGCTGGACAGCTAAAATAAACCGCTGTAAAGCCAACTATCAGGCATGGGGTCTCTGGATGGTCCGAAAAAATTTAAAACAATTTTGTTAAGCCTTGAGCCTGCAAAAGAGGAATAACCTATTAAACACAAAACGGCCTTCGATATGAATGTTGTTAAGCATCCAACATTAATGCTCGTAAGGAGCAGTATAATAGAGTTTTATAAACTTTATAGTTGGAACATTTTGGTGTGGAATCGTTTTGATAGTTATAATTTTATAGGAATCACCACAGAGAATAGTAATTTATAAAAGATTTACAACTGAGAAAGCACAAAAGCGCCAAGAGCGGAAGCGCCCACGACCAGGTAGCCCGTCTTATACACACCAGGGAGGGACAGGTTAAGGCCACAGTCCCAAAGCTATGACAAAAATAAGACGACTACAAAGTCAAATCAAAAGAACTGTACTTTTACCAAATGACGGATACCATTCAGAGTGTGGTAGATAAGTGGAAAGCCGAAGAAAAATTTAGTTCCTTAGAAAAATTAATGTGTATTAAAGGCACTAAGTTCGTTGCTAACGAAAACAAACCTGTTATAATTTGTGGCGTAAGTAGATCTGAGCTTTTAAGGATGTCAAAATAGTAAGTGAAGTCGTGGGGAGCAAAAAAAGTCCAATAGAGATTGTAGAAAGGCCTAAATAGTTTAACGATGAAGCAGTACACAAAGAGATCTCAAAGATAAAAAATTAAAAAAAAATTCCAGTATATAATGCCTGCGCCCCAAGCAACGCCTGTTATACGATGTGAAACAGAAAGAACTGAAGTTAATTCTGGTTTATATACAGTTAAATGCGGAGATAAAGGTCTTTTAAGAAGGTAATTTTTTTCTAAAAAGGAAAAATCCTTATTAACGAAGCAAGATTTGGTAGTACATCTTTTCGCCAGTAAAAGATTACTTCCTTTGATAAGAAAACTTATTAGTTAAGAGTAATAACATGAAGAGATAATATAATAGCCCAAAGGAATGAACACGAACGCAGCTTTTGCAGTTGATAGTTTTTTAAAAATGCGAAAGACAACTTCATTTCACCAAGATGTTCTTGCCGAGCCTTGGGCCAGATTTTTGTCTTATTTAGCTCTTAACCTCTTCGGCGAGGAATGTCCCCCGAAGACCACAGGAATGGCGACAGGGTTGCAAACGTTATAAACTTTCTTAATAGCTATAAAAATTTAACTATTTCAAAAAAGACTTTTGGTATTTAATTACTTGCAAAGGACTTTATTTTATTAACTCATTCCCTGCCTCATAATTACATATTAACCGCTAACATTATTGATACTGTTTAGCACTTTAAAGTTCTGGTTTCCCCTCAAACTCTTAATCTAACGTTTCTTTTCACTTTTAGTCTTGTCTATAATATACAGTCTTGACCATCTAAAAAATCAAGTATACTTAAATTTGTCCCAAGTTTGCTTCATATTTTAATTGTATATCCCATGTAAAAATATATATTTCCACAAGATTTAATCCTCATTCATTAATCTTTGCACCATGGATTACCATCTCATTCTTTCTTAGCACCGATATCGGCCACCGCCTGCACTTCAGTTTTACTTTTTAGTTTGACTGACCTCTCTCTGACATTCATTATCTTAAGGTCCTTAAATCCTCAAATAGTGAGTTATTTAACAAAATATTTACACCCTTTGTCAACCTATGTTTTATTATTTTGTATAAGTAAAACTTAAAAAGAAAATACATTAGTGGTATATTATAAAGCGACCTATATATTCGTATACGTGTTCTTCATTACTCCCTTTCCTCCCTACACTCACACCTTAAACACCTTTTAAACGTACTTTAAAACCTGAAGTTCGCTGTTCACGTATATTTTCCAAGCGACTTTTTAGATAGAAGACTGTACCCGATACGAAACCAAAGAATACTTGTATATTCTAAACTTTTTATATCGCCCAGCGTGCTTATTACCAGACCTCTTTCATTCGTCTTCCAACATTAGCTACTTCATGATTCCTTTATCCGCTAATGCCACATGAAACCTTGTGATTACCCTCCGCCTGTTCTTAATATTAACATATTCAGCATTTTTATAACCCTGACAGCTCTATACGTATAACAAAGTAAAGATTATAACGTTCTATAGAGATAAAAGCGCGAAAGTAGCAGTAATTAGAGTAATAAAAATTCAAAAACTTTAAATAGTAATCAGAAAATATGAAAAGAGCAATTATACTAAATTAAAACTATAAGAACAAATAGGAAACAACTGAGAGTAAAGCTGAACAGGCAAGAACAAAAGCAACAAAATGCTTCCTAGGAGACCTCGGAATATATTCCGTCTATCAGGTGACCAATTTAGTACCTTCGAGATCCAAGGAGACCGCGCATTTCGTAATCTCAGTAATTAATTTATTGGCTTGTGCACAGAAAAATGCGGTACACTGGTTCTCTTGGCGATAGACTCTGACATAGGCTTCAAAACGAGATCCTGTAATTGCAGACGTTTAATGTCTTCGCTGGTAAACGGGATGATGTCCAATATCGGTGCCACACAGGCAACATCCACCATAGGAGGGGCCTGAATCTGAAACACTTCTTTGGTAAACACCCTAGCATCATATGCAAACCTAGAACGTTAGCCAACCCATATCTGTCGTGGACTGCCCTCTCGGGCTGGAACGATGAGGCTGGTGATGACGTGGGTCTCTGCACTGCACACGGACTGCAAAGGACCGACGGCACTTCTCCACCGGGAGTTTTTGCTGCCGCGCGAGTTCACCACTAAGTGGCAGGTCGCACCAAAGACAAACACAGCACTGCATCGTAAACTTTTTCGCACACGAAAATACTTACACGCACCAACTAGCATCACCCGTCATACACTTAAAAAATGAAAACCTGGAAAAAGAAAGCAACTTATACGAACCAGAGAATAAAAAAATAAATCAGTGTTGAAAGAGTCAGTGCTTTGGCAAGAAGTGCGATATAATAAAGAATATAACAAAACCTACAATCCTCCCACTAGGGGGGGGAGGATTGCTACAACCTCCTCCGGGTAGCAAAATCGCTCGTGACTGCCAAAATAGGTACAAGGTGCAGACCCTTTAGGACTAATAACAACTAGCACTATTAAAATTGAACTTTAAAAATCGTCACCTTATAATTGACGTCATTGGATGGTTATACTTACTTTAAGTAGGTCAAAACCCCTGTAATATTCAATTAAATTATGTTTAAGGCGACACACGGTCTAGAATTATATTAATTTAAGTTCTCTGACATCTACCTGTTAAGGTATGTTCGATGTCTTACTGTTTTGTACGAGTCTCATTCGTTAATTTACCAAAGCAAAAACCTCTTTTTCGGACGCATGCAATATTTTTACACTTATGCTATGCTTCAGGTGAGTGCATTGCTACGACGATTTATGTATGATAAACAATGTTCTTAACTCCCGTTTTAAATTTAATTAAATAAATAAATTTAAGTTTAAATTTTTATAGTGTGGTTGTGCACTTAGCTAACGAGAGGTATATGTAAATACAGCTTTTCCCAATACGCATTGGTCGCTCAAAGTTTGGCTTGGCCAGCGGTACTACTTTCACAAGTGGCCGTGCTTTTTGCAAGAATTTAGTAAAAGCTTGTTTAATAAGAAATAGTGCATATATATATAATTTTTATATTTTAGATAGAGCGCGCTAGTAGGTAAAAGCTTTAATACCAACGCGACGCCGCTTGTCGGAAACCTTATTTAGCTCTTTCTTTAAATGGTTGAGACAGTTTTAATAAAAAGAACGACAAGCCCTGCGACCTTCTTTCTGAAAGTATGCGCGTTCGTTGCAATAAGTCTGTAAATGTTTATTCGAAAAAAGGATAGCGCTGCTCGTTTATAAACGTTGCTGATGACTGAGAGGGCTTACTTGGACCTTCTCTCAGTTTTCACATGATATTGGTTTGCTGAAATAGTAGTATCCGTTACTTATAATCTGCTATGAGTGTAGTAGATACTGGGGGTGTTGAATCCGTAAGAATAGTGTTATTTTACTCGATTTACTATACTTAATGTCTGCACCCAAAGTCTAAAGGTAGATGCTGAAGGTATAATACTAGTGAATGGAGTGCAGTTTTGTAATAACACGCTTTAGATCTAGGAAATAAATAATCTAGCAAGTGCCCCTTACTATAGTCAATTGGTGTTATGTAGAGTAAAGCCTAGGGTGCTTTAATGTTTATACAATCAACCTACAGCTTTTAATAAAATGTAGGTAATACAATATTTTTATTTAGATCGCTTTTTTAAAAAACCATTAACAACTAAGTATATGAAATTTAGAGCGATACTAATCTTATTAGGGCCCTTACCACGCCAGAAGAAGTATGCCATTCTTTAGTGGGATGGGATTCATTACCTAGATATTGAATCCTTACAATCCCTGATTTACCCGACCACTCCTGATAGGTAGCTTGAAGTACTCAAAGTTTGTTGACTTACGAGCACCAAAAAAAAGTTATTTACAAACTATTGACAGCGCCAGTCTCTTTAAATCTAATTTACAATTTATCAAAACAAAAACTCTAGTCACTATATAAGGACCAATTCTGTAATGCTAGGGTAACTGGTTGGATATGCAAGAACATCATACCGGGACGGAGAATTATCTCCGTAGTAAAGACACGTAGACTGAAGGCCGTGGGTTTCATTCCCATTATAACCTACAAATTTTCTTTAGGCTATAGTGAGATTCAAACACGTGTCGAGCATGCACGCTTGAACCGTAGTAATCGGGGGTAGTGGACTTCTCTTATTTTTCTTGAAGCTTATTCATTTTTATTGATTTTTTTGTCGAAAGCGATGTTTTTGGCTATTGGGCAAATATGTAAGTTATTGTAGAAGATATAGTTGAATCCGCATTATATTCCTTTCACGGTTTCATTGTAAGTAATTATTGGTAATATTAAGTCTTCAAACGTTGGCGAAAGAGAATTTCATACAGTATTTTTTTAACTCTTAAAACCTTTCACAAGGAAGCTCGTGACGTCCATCCATAGGATGTTCGTTCATTTGGAGGCACCTCCCTGATTTTTATTAGTTTTTACTATAATACTCCGGGTCTATTTAAAAACGAATTTCCCTTCTGATGGCTGTAAGAATAAAATTTGAAAATAGTTGTGACATAGGTGTTTATGCCTCCTTAACTAATTCCTACTGCCTGGTGGCCTCTGGAGGAGGTAATATGGTGCTAAAATCACTAAAGCTATCTCCTTTTCAACTGAAAATTTTTTGTTTTTTAGCCTTTTTTTTTTTTGGTTTTGTAAATATGAGCAATAATATCTTTTTCTCCTTGTTACTTAGGGGAATCTTTTTTTAGTACCTTCGCAGCAGAGTTAGAGCACCACATACCCGTGGTGCACGCCTTTATCGGAGGTTGTCGTATTATAGGAGCTCAGATTGTCGGTATATTTACTTTAATTCTGGCTTATTAACGTTCAAAATATAATTTTTTTTTAGGAAATAAACATGGCCTCCTGGTGCCAAGTATTACTACGGACCAAGAACTACAACATTTACGTGATTCTCTTCCGGATACTGTAGTTATTCAAAGAATTGAGGAAAGACACTCAGCTTTAGGAAACGTTATAGCTTGTAACGATTACGTGGGCCTTATACATCCCAACCTTGATAAGGTCGCTCGCCTTATTTTAAAATTATGTAAAAGATTTTTATTATTTATGACCGACCACAGGAAAGCGAGGACATAATTGCAGATGTCCTACAAATTGAAGTATTTAGACACACTATAGACCACAGCGTTTTAACAGGATCGCACTGTGTTCTTAGCAACCATGGCTGTTTGGTGTTTTTATTTTTAATATTCTTATACGATTACTACTATTTTACGCTTTATATTAAAGTACGCACTTTTTGTTTAATTCTAGTTTGCTATTTATTTTCTTTTTATTGCTCAACTCAAAGATTTTTAACTTCAACTTTTTCTGTCAAGCTTCCACCTTTCGTAAGCGTACAAGATATGCAGGAAGCGGCTTCTTTACTTCAAGTCCCTGTAGCCGCAGGCACCGTAAATCGAGGCCAAGAATGTCTGGGCGGTGGAATGGTCGTCAACGATTGGTGTGCTTTTGTGGGCGCAGACACAACGTCGATGGTAAAGCGTCTTGTTTACTTTGTAAGCAATTTGTTTTTGCCTATTCGCGGTTTTCTGCACTGTAAGGAAATTTCGCAAATTGAAAATATATTCCGATTGGGTGAGCAAGGCAATCCCGAGCGCATTACGACGGATATGAGAAATGATTTAATCGCCGGGTATACACGAATTAATTCATAAGAATGTAAATTTATTTTTATTTTTTTGCAGACTCACCACTCGAAGCTAATATATTCTCAAAAGTGTTGTTGATCAAGTCTTTCAGACAATAGTGAATTTTTGATATAAATAAACTTCCGCTTTTATGCGTGCTCGCTAATAACAATCTTTACACGTTATTCAATGATTTTATCGTTTTTCCAATTTATCAAGTTTTCATTTACCGGCCTTTCACGTAACAAGAAGGCAATTGAAAAATTTTCAATAAAAGCCAACAAAAATTAATCACTTGTATTCAATAGATAACCTAATTTATTTTCATATAAATAAGTTATTTAACTATTTTATTCCCTTGACTTCGTATACATCTTAAAAGGACTTTATTATTTCTTAGAAGAATTCCTATTCCCTTTAAAATGGCGTTTATTATTAAAGGAGTGAAATTTAACACTGAGTTCGCCGCGACCTTCTGGTTATATACGAACTTCCTGATTTATTTTCATTTCAATTGCTAATTAGAGAATTTCACCAAATTAATACGAAATTTTCTTTTGCCTTCTCCCACTACTAAGTCGATTTTTTTAAGTAGTGGATGGTATACTATAATTGTGAATTAACTTTCATTATTTCCACTTTTTTTGTGATCCAAGTTTTTTAAATTAATTCCTCTAAAGAAGCTGTAAGGTAATATATTCCTTTTGGATTCGTTCAACCTTGGTTTTGCAGTGGACACAGTAATAAAATTCTCTTCCGCTTCAGAATCTAACAACATTCTGAATATCAAGTAGTCTTATCTGGGATCGGCAGTGTATAGCTTAATACAAGTACCCATCTAACTGCACACGTGTAAAACTTAGTAGAAACTGAGTAACTATTTTAATATCCGTCTGCAAAACACGGGCTTTGAACCACCCTCTGTTACCCCTTACTTCTATAGAAGATATTGAACATAGTTTTGGACAACTTTTTAGATGATTAATAATAATATTAGTTTGTTAATGACGAACAATTTTTTCAAACTCACCTAAGCGTCACCAACTTTTTACAACACAAGAAGTTTCTACTCCTGTTTTGCCCATTATCACGTTCTCTAACCACTGTCCTAATGTAGACTTAAGTTTTGTACTGGCGCCTTGTTGCTTGATTTGCACTACCCTCTCTCTAGTTGCTAAGACCTTGAGGTATTCAAGAAAGGTAAAGCATCGTGCCGGCTATGACCTTCTCAACTTTAGGTATTACTTGTGTGTGTATAGTTATATTGTATTATATTAATACTGCGTCGTTTATAAGAAAAGGCCAAAAAACTTAGTTTTCATTATCGTGGTTTGCGCCGGTAAAAGGATGCCGTTTTCGTGATTTACGTCACTAAGGAGTGTTGTATTTTTGTATGGAACAAAATAGCAAAACTTACAGAGCTATACGCGTTACTACCGTAGTATTTTGACTTAGGATACTCTACTATCTAGAGCAGTTTATTATAAAATTGTTAAAACTTATAAAGGTTCTTAAAAAGTTGAATTTATTTGTTCGTAAATAAATTTTAGTAAAGTTAACATGGTGAATAATGATGAATTTATATAGAAGAATATATGGAAAGCGGCCGTTCATGCTTCTTAGCTGTCTTTTTGTTGTATAAACTTCTATGGTTTCTTCTTTTTAGAAGTTTTGACAATACTTGCCAGCTAGTGTTTTTTTTTATTACTTAAATAGAAAAATCTTTCTACTCTTCTTCTTGAGGCGAACGCTGTTAAGTCAGAGCTTTATAAAAAAGTATTTCTTTGTTTTTTATATTTAAAATAATTAAGACTAAATGACTTTAGGTTACAGATGACGTTGAACAATCTTTAAAAAGAGATAAATTTTTCAGAAACAGTCTTGAGGAAGGGAAGAAAAAAATAGAAACTTTACAGGAAAAATACATAAAAGTGGAAACGTTAATGAGAGAAGTTCTCTTAACTTTTAACTTTAATTAAAACTTTTTTAATAAAAATATCGATTAGCTAACTTCCTGTGAAGCTTACGCCTCCAGTCTTAGGGCCCCTTTAGAAGAACTTTTTGAACTTAAAAAAAAACTTAACTACTACAAGTGGTGGAGTACAATTTTGACTTTAAGGTTTTATTTGAAGTTGGAACTTTTTTTTAGTATAAGTTGAAACGAAACAGAGTTGCTTTGAGTTGTAATATATATATATATTGTGTCTTTAGTCTCCTTATTTTCATTTTGCATTATTAAAAAGACCAATTTTAAAGCAACTTTGTTGAGATTCGTTTGTTAAAATCTCATTTTTAATTTATGGTATTAAAAATAATACCAAATAATACACAACGCAGTATTAAAAAATTTTAAAAGGTACGAATTTTGGGTTTAGCTAAGTAAAAATTATTACATCTATAAAATATCCCAAGTTAACCACCAATTGGTCAGCGATGACATTCAGAAAGTTGTCGAGCCTAAAAATATCGCTTTCGGTTCTGAGCACAACGCGTTGACTGGGTCGCTGCAATCACTACAGCATTTTTGTAATCTTCTAAAACTTCTTCAAGAAAGGTCACTTTAGAATACATGTCCTTTTCTTAACCTTATTATTTCCGACAATGTTTAATAGCAACTGTACCATTTTACGAGCCTTTTGTCAAGCGCGCTTGCGTTTTTGCTTATCCAAAGTCCATTCGAAGCTTCTAGCGTATGTTGCCTATTGACGGGCTGCCTTAGCAGCTCGCTATTACTGGCTCTGTAGGGAGCTGAATGGCCTTTTCCAGCTAATCAACTGGCCGTCCGCAGATGTGATGGGCTCTCCTCACATCCAATCGGTCTTACCTCAACTAGTTAGCCTTCTGCACTTTGGTATTCGATTTCCGTATTCACGTGTTTTCCCATGTACCACGTGCCTCATTGACATCGCAGGACACCACCTATACAAGTCAATGGGCCCAGCGGAGCTCGAGTGGCTCAATGAGTCCGACCCACCGGCAGATATCCACATGCTCTCGCCGGAAGGAATGGTCGTCCGTTTGCTCTTTGTTCCTGTGTTCAAGCGGTTTCGTTTCCACTTTTCTGGTGACCACCAAACCAATCGAGTAGATAAGGTTGCTTGGCTGCTCTGTTCTTCGCATATTTCGTGATTTTTTTCTGCCAAGCCCGAATGGTTCATGACTTTTGTGGTGAATATTCTCGAAAAACAACGCGTGTTTCTGAACACTGCGCTGCAGAGCATTTTTAGCGACGCCTCTGCTGAACGCGTGATGGTGTCTTTTGATCCGACCACAAGTGGGGTGACGAAGCTATTTGTCTTTATGCAGAGCCTCGCAGCGGCATGGCTTATCAATGAGTGCGTTAAGCCGAAGTTAAAGGAGGAATTGGAAACTTATTTATCGGATCTTTCTTTATTCCGTCACGCCATAGCAGAGACGTTGAGTTTTGATCAAGAACTCGCAGGTACTTTGCGTATTCTGTAGGCTAGCTCGTTCTGAGGCTCGTGCCGCTGAAATGCGCTAGGCAGCCTGAGGCCTTATGAAGTTCCGCTGTGCGTCGATGTGTTTTGTGAAGACCTTGCGGTTTTTGAAAAGTGGATTCAGCTTGAACAAGAGGGTACTTTAGCCACCAATCGCAAAGCTCGTTCTGCAGTACTGTTCAACAAGCCACGATGAGCTTCTACGAAAGATGCTGGAACAAGAAAAATAAGTTTGATTCTAACTTTGAAGATCTCCATGAGGATGGCAAAGTGCTAGACTTCGCGTCGACTTTCTTAAGTTTGCTAAAGTCTATTTCTGGTTCTCAAACTTCGACATTTTCCATTTCTTTCTTTAGTTTTGTTTTTTGAATAATAACAGAGAGATATTTGTTATTGAGAAACGAAGAACGCAAGCTTGCATTTATTAAGCACGTGCAAATGAAGTAACAAAAAGTCCGCTGTTACCTTTTTAGGGTGCCCATTTTTTATCACCAATAGAATTTTAGATCGCTTCTTGACGGATGCCGAGCAAATTCTTTTTGGTGTGGCGAAGGATAACGGCGCCCGTTTTTCTCAAATTCAAGAGTTTGAGACGTTCTGCAAGCTGATAAGTCTGATTATCGCAACTGGTCGCATTACAAGCTTCTTACTGGTTGCCGTATAATAAGGCAGCTTGACCTTCATTCGTCGGGCCATCTGGGATTGGTCGAACGATCTGGTAAGCCATTAGAACTTTCAGGCTGCTTGCTATTATTGGTCGTTCTCTGCCAGGTGTACATAGACCTGCACGAGGCGTTGAAGACATTGGCCCCTCGCCCGCCTCCCTCTGGCGCCGGCTCTGTTTTTGAAGGCGTGGTGGAGAAGTCAACAAGACTTTCATTAATAGATCTTTTTTTTACTTTTCAACAACTTTCTTCACTGAAGATTCGAGGAATTGGAGGAAAGAGGCGCTCAGCTGGTGGTAGACGGCGTCGTGGAAACGTTCTGCCAAGACCTCGAGGGCTACTCGAGACAAAGGTCGGGCGTGCGCTCCTCCGTGGTTGCGCCTGACCAATACACATGTGACCCACTAGATGGGTGTTAGTGGGGCCGCAGGGATTGGCCCTTCCGGTGCTTTCTGAGTCGCTCAGTGGCCCCTTCTCCGTCTTAGGCCAGCAGTTACTCTCAACGAGGAGTATTTTACCAGCGGCGGTTTATTATGTATTAGAGCAATTCCAGGTTTCTCCTAAAATTTTTCGACTCTGTAGCTTTTTGAGACTGTTTGGATTAAAGTCGCAGGCAGCATTTCACTAGGTAGCCAGTGTCTCGTGTGAACAACAACGAGTGACAAATCTTTTGCTATAGAGCTGCTGCGCAGAGTCGTTCTTACGAATTACTTTAATCCTAACGGATGTCAAAGATTCTGTAACGATATGAAAGTGACCTTTGAAGTGCTTTTTATATATTTACTTGCCTTGTGTCCATTCTTCTTTCTTGTCTTTGTTATCTTTAGATTTTCTCAAATTTTTCTCCGTATCCCGAGCGGTACTTGCCAGAGTATTCGTCTCTTCTACTGTATTCTGCACTTCGGGCATCTAACTAGATACACATAAATGTTTAGAATTGCTGACGTCTGTAAAATTATGACTGCATCTCAAGAACAATTGGAAAAAATTAAAACTCTGGAGTCGCCCTCCCTGCAAGAAGATAATAAAGAGGTCTCAGATCTGCTACAAAATCTCAACATTCATACTTTGCCGCTCCCCACTGTCGTGGATCTTGTCTCCAGACTAATTTAGCAGTTTGTTACTAATAAAAATATTAGCACTTCTTGTCCATAAAGCTCGTCTCATAATAATATATTATTCTGGTAGCAAAAAATAGTTTAATTATTTCAAGAAACACTAAGAAAAAGTCACTGTTACATTAAGTATAACAAAAATTGGAAACAAAAAGTGTAAAGTTATATGACTACCAACTACAACTGCATTTATAATAAACTTCGTGATATCGTTCAGCTTCAGAAGGCAGATTAATTATTGTAAGGGCTCACTTGTCAAGGTTTATAGAATACTTTATCAACGGTTTGGCCGAAACGGGTGGTAGTTATAGTCAGTTTTATCCAAGTGGAGCTTCAGTTAAATTTAGTTAACCCATTCGAAGGGACTCACTCATTTTACTAAACCGAAGTTTTTTTTTTGAGTTAATATATAAAATTATAATATAAAAGTTTCCTGCCAAAAAAAAGGTGTGATTGCCTATAACGTGAGGTGTGGACCCCCTTTAAATACGGCGTTTACTATGTGTTAGAAATAAGCGCAAAGAATCGAAACTCTGCTCCTTGCTTTTAAAAGGAACAAAGAGATCTTGTTAGAAAGTTTAGCTAACAGATGTTGTAAAGTTCCTTTGTAAACGAAGTAAAAAGTTTTTCCGGACGTGAGAAGACAAAAAAGGTGAGAGTTATGGGAATTTTATAAACTTAACCCTTAAAATTGCCATTATTAAAAATAAAAAAAGAGAATTATTTAAATTATAACTTTTTGCAAAAAAAAACATCTTATTCATTTGCCCATTCGAATCCGTAACCGCAGGTCTAGTACTGGTGGCCATTTTTCCAAGTGATGATTTCTCCAGTGGTTTTTCCAGGTCTTTCAAGAGAAAAAGAAGAGATTAATCTCTATCCTACATAGGACCAGGTTGGTATGTCAGTAAAAGAAAAAATAAAATTTTAGGTTTCGGAATTGAGGTGGATTCTATCAACTTTAAGGATGTAGTGAGAAACAAATAACATACAATATTTCGCTTGTTTGATATTATTACTTCTCTAAGTAGGTTCACCATTGCATTATTTTAATATCTTAAAAATTATACTACGTGTTGCACTGAGTAAATATGTGTTTATATAAAAATAATGAGCTAATTAACTATTTTAAAAAAAAAATAAAAAAAAATTGTCACTCTTTCAAAAGAACATAAATAAAAGAGGAAGAATCGGGAGTAAAACCCTTGAGAACTTTAAGCGCGAAGGCCTTCTAAAAAGATTTATGAAACATTCTTTTGATTCATTCAGATTTTGTTTAAAGTGTATACCTTTCTATGCATACTCGTAATTTAATATAACTGGGCAATTGAAAGTAGTTAAAAAATGCTTAGATAAATCTAAGATCCCTGAATTATAGCTGAGGTGGAATCCAATCCTTATAAAAAATATCCTTAACATATTTAGGAGCACCAAAAAAATAACAATCTAGGCGTGACTTTAACGTAGTTGCAACCCAATAAATTAGGTCGTTATCTAACTTTGACAATTCCCTATTAACAAAGGCACGGCACATTAGCCAGCATTTATATATTGTTAGAGATCGATACCTTAACGATTTGCTGCCTCCATAAGGCGGGAGTCCACTTTTCGGGCAAGGTGGGAAATCTAACAAAAAATTAGCATACCGACTGTTTGGCCGCAATGCTAGTCTCCAGCAGTAGGCCTCAAATCAAGTGTACTCGGGGCCGCCGTGGCACTTTTTTGCAGCGGTTTATCACCACGTTAGGCTGAATAGCATAAGTCCAGACTAATACGCCTCGAGTCACTCACGCTATGCCTTCGAAAGATTTATGGGCGCCCTCTCGCGCCAGATAGACTTACTGAACGCTCGCAGTAGTCATTAAAACATGAGACAGAAGGGGTCCTACACGCTGCATGATTAAAGGCCGCATATTTTGCTTTACTGCTTTCCTTACACTTTGCAACAATTCGCAAGCTACTTACCGTAAAGCTGCAATCAGTCAGAGGACTAACAAACCTTTTTGGTTACGCTTAAAAAAAAGTATAATTTGGACAGACCTCCCTTGAGCAAAGGCACACAAAGTTGAAGGATTCTATGTGGTTTCTTTAAGGGGTACAAAATGCCAGAAACCTTTCATCTAAAGAAGAGGTAACATAGTTCATCTCTACGAACCTAAGTAGCTTTGCTTAACTCTAGTTTTATTTAAAATACCCTTTTTTAACTATCTGCTCTTAAGATGGACTTTATTTACTTTTGAGGGGTAACTGCTGGTAGTTGTTTAATAACTTTTAAGTTCATATGGCTAACATAAGTTACCTGCGGATTAATTACCACAGTAAGTGGAACCTTAGCGCGTTAGTACGACACATCCCGCCTGAATTTTAACTCTTTTATTTAAGATAAATATTATTTAAGGCAATGTAGGTATATTTAACTATATTTCCTGAGAGTTATTAAGATTAAAAAAGATTGAGCTCCCTTTAGAAGATTTTGGACGACTACAGTTTGTTTTTATTTAAATTTTGGAGAATTTAACTTAAATGCCGTTTCAAGTTTCACTCAATAATAGTAATATTAGAAGTAAATCCTGAGTTAGCTGTCCCTACATAAGTTTTTATATAAAAATTAAAAAAAAAAGGATTAAATGAAAATAGAATAAAAAAGGGCTTTTATAACAGATATTCTCTAGAAATACAAAAATAAACTTTCACCAAAACGGTATTAACGTATAATTAGGGGGGGGGGATCAATTTAGATTTAAACCAAAAATTGCAGAAAGCAAAGCTAATAAAATACTATAACCAACTTACAAGCCCTTTAAAAAGAAGTAAAGTAAACGTTTTATAAAATGGCCACAAAGATAAAATACCAGTTATTTATCCTTATTACAAGAGGCTGTGTCATAATTTAAAGTCATGCCGTTTAAATAATCATCGGCAATATCAAAAATACTCAGCCATTTCTCAATTAAATCGTCTGCTTCTCCTGTAGAGACAAACAGCAACTTTGTAAAACAAAAAGATAATTGCGTTAGTGCCGCATTATAAAAAAATAAAAAGACCAAGATAATTTTTCACCTCAAATTTTTTTAAAGCAACTTTTAAATTTTCAGTGACTTTTTTAATTAGCTCCGCCAATTTTAAAACTTTTTCGGTTTCCTCACTTAGTCCTTGAAAGTGCAAATTTTCAGGAGAGAGCAGAACTTGCTAATTTTGTGGTATATATTTAACTAAAGATTGTATAAAAACGAGTTTTTAAATAAAATACACATTTTTATTAAAACTTCTCTCGGCCCCTGAACCGCAATAAGAGCTGCTAGTTGGAATTTAATAAGTCACTAAATATAACTAAAAAATATATAAAAAAAAAAGCGGATAAAGCCTAAATGTTTGATTAACGTATCCTCTATTGAAGTTTCCCCGATCATATTTCCGCTCTGCTTAGGTGTCCAAGTTGTAAAGACAAATTTAATGCAATAGTAGGCAAAAAACGGCACGACTCTTAATATCAAAATCCCGCGGTTATTAAAGAATTGAAAAAGACAGTACAGCAGCCGAACGAGTGACCCCGGTGGGAATCGAACCCACGACCATCAGGACTGGAATCTGAAGCGCTACCGCTGCGCCACAGGGCCACTAGAGGGGTATGGCACAATTTAATTTAAAAAAGCTAAAATAGGGTTTTTCGTGTATCACTTTTGAAAACTATTTCTTGCTTGGACATAGAAAATTTTTTCCTACAACGACCGCACACTTAAACTTACGGATATATATTTTTTATTTAATTGGCTTCTGTTTACAAATGATTTTAGCGCTTAACCTGTCTTTCCACCTCAAGAGGGCTTGGTGTACGAATTGGCATCAATATATCCTCCTGAGGGGGTATTATGGCAACACCGAGCAAATCTTGTATTATTTGAATTACTACACCAGGAGGGTGCCACCTCCACATTATTAATCGCAGAACCTCCAGGTAAATTCAGGTTTTGTCTTAGTTACTTAATGACGGGTGTCTTAGCTCTATCGTTTAAGAGGGCGGTTAACTGTGCTTTGCTTTTCAGTTAACCTTTTAACGAGCAAAACTCTGGGAATTAAATAGAGTTGTTTTACGGTTACTGGTAACTAAATATACCACTTTGTTGGGCACTGCCTAATTCGTTAGGAAATGGTACTCAAACTTATCAGAGCTTTTTAAAAACCGAGCCTGTCGTTTAGGGTCAAATTCCATAGACCTACTCTTGCAAATTGAACCCAGGCGACAAGTGTGAACATAGTACCAGTAACTTATAAAGGCTTAGTACAGACTAATTTAAAGGGCTTTGATTGTGAAAACGAAAACTACGGAAGGGATGTTTGTGCACAGCCAACAGACTTGACAAAATTTTTAGCAACCTTTAAGCGACATTCTATCTCCTTGCTAACTTTTGCCCCTACTAGTTGATGTAGTAGGAACCTTTAAAAGCTCGCTAACTTTTGCGTTGAAGTCGTGAAGCTTTCTAAGATCCTGAACTTCTGAAAAAGTACCTAGTTAATTTTATTAGCGAGCGCCGTCGAATAAAAAGCTCTGCCGCTACCGCGGAATGCTTATACGACAACTTGATGCTGGATCTTTCTTTATAAATACATTAGTAACCTGCTATTCGCTTTAAAAACAGCCTTAAAGGAGAAATTACAAAATGTAATAGACGTGGAGGTGAAAGCGGTTAACTTTTGAGTGCTTCGCATTGCCATCCCATTACCGTCTCTGATTAACAGCGAAGGAGGCGGGTTGGTGACCAGCACTTTTGATAAAACCATCGTAGTAGGTTTGGCCTTGATATCATCAGCGAAATCAGAAGGGATGTACCACTTAAGCTGCCACTTAAAGTTTGTAGTTCACTTAGTTCTTTGTCAAAGCGTCAAAAGTCCTTCGCTGTAGTGTGCCGGAGACACTGCGACCTTTATCTGGTATTAAAAAATAATGTTTGTTCTGCCTGCTTTTGGCAGTGCTAAAGATCGAGACTGTCTTGCCGTGGCGGTTGAAAAAACGTTTTTAAAGGAGCGCGATAAATTGTCAGTAATTCAATTTTTTGTTTTAAGACCAACTTTTTTACGATACAGGAATTGAGCTCGTAGCCTAATCTAAATAGGCTAAAGGAGGCACCTACCTAAACATGGGTAGGTATATGATCACAGGTGGCGCTGAGACCTTCTGCCATACTTTATACTTTAAAGCCCTGTGCATCCTCTACAGGGTCTTGAAATACTTTCTAAGTGGCCAAGTCTTCTGCATTCGAAATGGTACTACGCTGTCAACGCTACTTTTGGGCCTCAAAGTAATGCAGGTTTTTCTGCTCTCGACACTACTGTTTGCGCTTTGTGTACTTACCTTCATATTTCCTTCAAACCGGCACACACGTATTTTTATATACGTCGACGAGATCTCGCCCACACGCTACTTTCACTTTCTTTTTAAGGGTGAGAAATCTTAACATTGGGTAAATTACTTAATAATAAAAATCAACAATAAATTACGCTGTCAACGAAAAAGCTTTTAATACTGTGCGCAAAGAGCAAAATCCTTGCATTATAAAAGCACCTACACGATATATTAATGGCTCATCATGATCCACACTTAGCCTGCAGAGGCATCCAATGCAGCTTTTGACTGAGCACTCGAGTAGCAGCTACTACTGTTTATGAAAGTTTCGCTACACATTTGAACCGGAAGTAGGCAAAATAACTTATATGTGTGCTCTGGAAAAACGAGCGAAACTACCGCCTCAGCTTGCTATTCTCGAGCCTTATTTATATATATTACATATATATGTATTAGTTAGGTTTCCCACTACACTAAAAAGTAAATATCATCCCCAAGAGATATTAAATTAATATATAATGTACGAATAACTAATGTTAATACCTAGATTATGTTAGATATACCTCCATTCATCCATATCATACCAGGTACCAAGGGCATGTGCTTTTCCATGTGCTTTCACAGCGTTAGTTACACATCTTAACACCTTTTTTACTGTCTCACAATTTAGTGTATGTTTCTTATACTATAAATACCTTCGCATTAGCGTTAGTAAGCTGGCCTCGCCAAAAAGAGAAAGTAATACTAAACTAAACAGAGACATTTCGGAATTCAGGGCTTATGAAAGTATTAGATTAAGCAGCGTACCCGGTAGCGTCAGGTTGTAGAATGTCAGTACAACAATTAAATAATATAATAGCTCGCTCTTCCATTCTTATCATACTAAGCACCCTTCCTCGAGGATGCTGGGCACCTGCAAAGGCCAGTATATATTATAATCAACTTCTCGAAATTCCTATGCTTCTTTTTTAGTGCGTAAAAAATTCCATTCGAACATTACTCTCAAAAACATGACCTTTAGTGAACGAAACGCGCTTTAATATAAAAATGATTTTGTTAGTGTAATATCATGCTCGTTTAGAACAAAGTAGTCTATCAAGGGTAGAGAGAGGTTATGACTATGTTCACACACAGTTTTCTTCCTGAAGTAACTTGATAGTTATGAGGACGTTTATCACAGTTTAATCGCGCCTAACTGAAGAGGTAGAAATTAAATCATTCCTTAGAACAGTCCCGAATATTAACCATGTTGAAACTCCTTGAAGTCTTCTACCATGTTTCTTAAAATAGCAAGGGCAGTTATTATTAAACGGTTATAGGGGATACAATTAAGTATATTGTCCATATAAAACATTCTAGTTTACCAGTCAAGAATTACTAAGATTTTCTGAGCACGCGCAACAAAGGGTATTAATCTAATTAAGCTAGTTTTGTTTTTTTTTAATATTACATATTTTTCAACAAAAGTATAGCCGTAAAAACTTTGAGTAAATTGACATGTGAGGACAGCAGACCACATATTTTTTCAGATTAAACCTTTTTACAAAAATTCTTTGCAAAAGGTTAAGATGCCCCCCTAAACAAAAAAAGATTCTAAGCATACATAGAGGCTTCTTACTAAAGTATTCTTTATCTGCATAGCAGTTATATCTAAACCGGCTAACTCTGGCAATTTTTTACCTTTAGGGAGAAGAAACGGAAGTGCAAGTTGCTTTCCCTAGTGCAAAAGGCTGTTCGCGTCTCAAGATCTCTTCTCCTTTTTAACTTTTTAGATTTGCTGGAGATTTCCCAGTGGATCGGGAATAAGTTGACAAACATTTGTACACGCTAGCAAGTCAGTTTATGAGTGTCGCAAAATCAATATACTCTACAACAGATCCTGCTAGCTTCTAATAAATCCCATTAGCTTGCTAAAATTTTTATACTTTCACCTACAAAAATAATAATAAACTTTTATAAAGCAGGTCCATATATATTATCAAAGGTACTGTCAACTTTAGTATATCTTTACATACATGCGATATTCCTCCTGACATCTAAGTTTTTTTAGCTCTATACGTTGACGGCATCACCATATATTGTTATTAAAAATCACCTGCTCTGGCTTCTAAATATGCGCAGGCCCTATTTTATTTACTTGAATTTCTAGCTTGCCGAGTGGTAACCTACGATAAACCTTCTTAAATGCCATGCGTTGCTCATCACAAGAAAAGAATAATGATAATTTAAGCACTTACGCTATTGCGAACACTTATTACTATTATCCGCCTCTAATTCTTAAAGGTGTTAAAGTGCCATGGGGACTTATATTTTTTGGACGTCATCATCAGGACGCAGTGGAATTAGTGGACACACGTTGAATGCCTTGCAGCTGGTTCAAAAGGTAACCCACGCACTCTAATACCGCTGTGTGCAAAAAGCGCAATGTCCTCAATTTAATACATGCGCTTGTATTGAATGTATGCGAGCCCTTATGGCCTACGCGTTGCTTGGACGCAAGTGCACTGCTGCAGAGCAGTATAAGCTCTTGCGATGGTAGCAAACCCACCCTATTTTTTGCGCAACTACGAACGGTGTTTGAAACAACTTGAAAACCTTTTCCTAATTACCACTAATGCTTCTTCTAAAGGTATTAGTAGGTATCATAATACCACCAGTGGAAGCGAAACTTACTTGTCCACGAACGCCTTTAGCGCACACTTACTGTCTGTGTGCCTTTACACATGTATATATGTAATATATAACGATGAGAAACTTCAAGGAGACTGAATGCGAAATACGCAATATAACTCAAGTTATTAGCAAAAAAAGCTATTTGTACTTGATTTTACCGGGTGTCTGCCCAAATTTATATTATAAAAAACTTCCATCACCTGGCACTGTCAGATAAAGTACCTTAGCGTTATTTTGTGATCTTTAATTTAACTAAAAGCCTGATTTCGGGTATCCTATTAAAAAAGAAACAATTATTTTTGCCTTATAAATCATAAATGTAGAAAAAGCCAATTAAATCTTATAAATAAAGCTAAAATCTGGTCGTAGAAGAGTTGGGCAAAGGTAGAATGGTCTTAATGCTGGCTTGCAATATAAAAGATTCCAAACTCTTTAAAAAATCTCTTTAAAATGTTTACTGGCGCACCTTGGATAATGTGAAACTTTAAATTTTTTTGCACCGTGAACGTGAGATAGACCCACTTTTGCAATAATTTAAAAGCACAGCTGTAAAATATTTACTTTAAATGAATAAAAAAGGTATAAACTATCTCCTGCACACTTCCTAAAAATATATAAACGACCATATCCTAGAAAAGCGACTTAGTAATGTCTTCAAAACAACAAACAGCTCAAAATATTTCTACATGGACGAAGGGAAAACGCTTAAATTTAAAATAGCTGTCTTCTAGTTATATGAGGTAACGCTAAAGGTCTTTAATATTGTAAAGGAAACCACTAACTTGAGGTTATAGAAGGTATAACGCCTGTAGTATGTAAAAAAAATAAATTAATAGATAAACTGTCAAAAGAAGAGAAAGTCATCTTCAGCTCCTTGGAACCCCTGTCGGTTTTTTTTGATATTACAGTAAGTAGTGGCTACAAATTGCGGCCGACTTAGGAAAATGTATAATATATCTAAAACATCACATGGTTAACACCGTTACAGAGTCCATATGTGATAGGGTACAGAGAAGAAGACCGGTATTGGATCAAACGCATTATATAAAACTACTGAGCTTTTAAACTATAAGGTAATGTAAGACAAAGGGGCAATAAGAAATTCAAATTAAACCCCTTTACTTCTGCTACCTTTGAAATAGTTCCTTCAGTTAATTTAATATAAAATTATAACTTTCTATAAGGCGCACACTGTCATCAGTTTAGTCGCCCATTTTGTTTTTTTATAAAGAAGCAAAATCCTAGTTTACTTAAATTTTTTTTTTAAAATTTACATTTTTAAACATCTTGCTTTACTCCTATCCCACTACTATTTAACAAAATATAGTGTAAAGTACCTGAACTCAATAAATTCTATAATTTTCCCCGTTAAAAGATTAAGGATATTTAACTTCAATAAGCCAATAATCGACTTTTCGTAAAAAGTAGAGCCTTCTCTCGAAGGAAAAAAAAATTAAATGAATATTTTTAAATCTTTTATAATAAGCATGTTTGGTTAGCTCAAAGAACATACGTGCCTGATATATATTAATTCATTCAGTAGTTAAATTAGAGGTAAAAACACAGTGTATCTGCTCTAACTGAAAACGAACCACTTTTTGATTATAGAAAAAAATTTTAAACTAAATATATAGCTCCTTGTTAAAAAATAAGTTAAGGTCAATACTTAAAAATAAAAGCCAATAAATTTTACTTTAAAGAAAGACCAGTTATCAGGGCAAAAGCTTGTTTTTTTATGGACGGCGACATTTTTCAAACGTTAATTATATAAGCAACCTCCAAAGTAAAAATAAAATACATATTACACCCCTTACAATAGGAACAATCTATAAGCCAGAGTAACCGAGTATATAAAATGTTAATAAGTCTATATAAACAAACGACTTTATTCACGACAACAAATATCCATCTGGTATAATAATAACGTTAGGGCTCGATACCTTTACATATGATTTCTTGCCCCCCTCTAACCCTTATGGTTTACTGCTTACTATTTACCAGTTCTCGCCTGAGTTCAGTTTGCAAGAGCAGGGTCTATGGATATTGATCTTAAACGACAGGCTCGGTCTCTGCAACAATCTCTGATAAGTTGAGTACCATGTTCTAACGGAGGCAACAACCTAAACATAGAAAAGTGGTAAATTTAGTACCAGTAAACGTAAAACAAATCTGTTTTAAGCCCCAGAGTTTTGCCGGTTAAAGGGTTAAAAGTGTCTACATTGTGGGTGGTTAAAAACTAAAACTAACTATCAATGACTGCGCAAATAATTCGACCGACCACCATGCCAACCCCCTTTAAATTGATAAAACATAAGCAAATGCATAACCCACAAGTAAAAGAGAAGCAACCAAAAAAAGAAAAAGACGAGGGCTTTAGAACACGTGATAATACGCAAATTCGGGAAAATTACAGTTCCACGGTCATTTACACACGCGCATTGTAACATCGGTTTATTTAGACAAAGCCTAGCTTTCCGTGCAAATCTTCAGTAGCAAGCTTGTGGTGTGTCTTGGCATGCAGTCGTAAGTTTGTCTTCTCTTTTTTTCTCAGAACTTCTTTTGCTGGATTCGTTGTAGAACTGGCCCTACTCCTTGTTATTTTTACGGCTTTTAAGATTATGTTCGCCTATTTTCGTTTTAGGACCTAAAATTTATTCGTTGATAGTACGTATAGTGCCTTTTTGGATCCCAATGCATATTTTGTTTTAGGTTAACTTCTGAGGAATATTTATCTTACCTTTTTAATATTTTAGAAATCTAGCACCTTTTCAGTGGGCTCAGGATAAGCGCTCCGTATTCCTCACCGTCAACTTACCTGATATTAAGGATGAGAAAGTCGGTTTATCAGAAAACAAAGTAACTTTTGAGGGGAAGAGTAAAGATGCTTTATGGACTAACGAGTTGGAACTGTATGGAACTATTATTAAAGATGTATGTATTTATTTATCTCCTGGCTTGTGTGAAAGACAATTATTATTTTTATTTAGAAGTCGGTTATTGAAAAAAGCGATCGTAAATTAACTTTTACTTTGGCTAAGGAAGATACTGGTAGGTGGCTCCCTATATTAAAAAGGGGATTCATATTTTCAATTTTTTTTTGGGATTATGTCGTTTGTGTTGTAAAATATACTTGTTTATAGGGTATTAGCATCTCCTTATTATTGTATTGTTATTATATTTCATTACCGAGGCTTAATTTCCAAGAATTTTCCTTTGCCAATAAATTTAGACTTTTTTTTGTAACTTTTTTTTTAAATATACAGAAAAATTTTGGCCGAGGTTGCTTAAGGGCAACAAAAGGCACCACTGGTTATCTACCGACTTCTCGAAGTGGAAGGACGAGGACGAGAGCGACGAAGATGGTTACCTTGTTGCAAGTTTTCCTGGATTCTATAACATTTTTTTGTAGACAAATTTGGTGGTATGGACTTTTCTAGTATGATGAACGACAGTTCTGGAAGGGATTACGACATGGAAGATGACGATCAAGAGTTGGAAAATAGCAGCGACGAGGAACCGGCCGTAAAGGAGAGTAATGAAGAAGCTCCCGAAGCCGCAACAGAAGTTTAAGTTTAATAATAATAAAAAAGAAGTGTTAAGATTTATTGTTTTTGTTAAAACAAACTCTCAAGAGTAACGAGGGGCTACCTCGGCTTAAGCGAAGCTACGACACTAACAAACCCGACAAAGTCCCCCTGGTCCGATTGGAGCGGTAGCACAAAGTTTTGAGAGGAAGAATTGAGCTGTTGTATTGTGTTATAAAAGAATCGTGTAAGTCGCAGACAGCCAAGCATAGTCACCTTTATTAGAGGCAGAGTGCACTCACCGTACTTCTTTTGCGAACGCGCGCCTGCAGCAATTAGCTTGAAGCTCTGGCACTGCTTAAGGTGGGCTTTGAAGGTGTGACCCGCTTCACTATCTTTACTTCGGCCGCTCTGGTGGTGCGCTAGTCATCCACGTGTAAAGGCAGTATATAGAAGCTCTTACGCAACCCACGGTGACGAGTATACTTTTCGTCGACGTAAAGGATGCTTTCGGGCTCCTCAGGAAGACGGAGTGAGCAAGCATGTACTGCAGAGATAATATATGCAAGGGGCTTTACTCTTCCACATCGCATCGCAGCGTAACAGCAGTACCCTCCTGAAGCCATTCCAGCGATACTCTGCCGACATAATGAAACTGCATTCTCTTTTGGAAGAGGATCGTTCTTACCCAATCACTTTCAACTTGAGGGCGCCAGACGCACGAAAGTGACTCTTCGCGGGTGCGCAGTCGAGGCGGACTCGGTTCGAAGGAAAGGTCTCATGCCACTTCCTTCTATTTGGCAAGGGCGGCAGTCTGGTCGTTTGTCCTTTAGGACACAACACTGTGACAGGCACAAGGGGGCATTTAGTCAATTAAGAAATACCTGCAGCCTCTCCTTTTGCTATAGAAACGCGTTGCGCCCAAGTCATCGCGAAATCCTTACTCTCTGTGCAAGTTTCCAGTTTTATATATTAAAGAAGACGCATAATGCAAATACTACCAAAAAGCACAGTGAATACGCGCTGGCGCTTTCCATAAGACGTAAGGCAGACACCGTGTTCGTACGAGTAGAGGTCTACAGTCAGGATTAGAGCTAGAAGTTTCGGATTGTGGCGCTGTCCTTACCGATTTTGTTCTTCACTCTCTGACGTTTGGCCGAGAGCTCGGCAAGGAGGCGCTTCTTAGACTTCTCTGAGCCGCACAAGATGAGAACGCGTAGCGAATAAATGAACAAATAAAAAAAATACTGCATATATTATCAATGTCGCCTTCGATCTTTTTAAGTTTGGAAACGATATACATCAGAATGTCTATATGAGATGCTGGAGGGGGAAGCTACCAAACTTCAAAAGAAGTAGAATACTGTTATCGACGGGGCGTTGCACTGGATCAATAGAGAAGATTTCGTTCAGGTTGACTTTCCATAAAAATTGGAGTGCGTCTTTTCTCCGCTCGCTCTCGTATTTCTTTGAAGAAAGCGCTAACTACCGGCACAGCGCAGAAAAAACCGCATATTGATAAGGGAAACCTTCTGAAAAAGGAAGATCGAGTCGGTGAATAAAACGCACACCCTCCACCGACGCTTTCCGTGGGTAACTTCGACAACTTCGTTTTCCAATAAACACCGCCTTCCTGGAATTTCGATTGGCTGAAAAACGTTTGTCTGTTACCAATAGGAAACAAGAGCTCTCATTGGGAGGTACCTCTTCTGCGCTCACAACCTTCTGGGCAAGAATATACACGTGCTCAATGCTGTCGGCGTAGCGCTTGCGGTCGTTGATCAACGTGGTCAGGTTTCTACAGCGTCTTGCTGCTGTCCTACCAAGCGTTTCACTATATGAAAAGAAACAAAAAGTAAGGGACTCCCACTGAACGGCGGGATAGTCAGGATCTGTCGGTCCCATGACAGCTGCGTAGGTTTCCAAAAGCATAAAGTAGCGTGGGATGCGCTGGACAGGCATTATTAATATATCTTGCACGCGGTAACGGTGCACGTTGGGCGGAAGATGCAGAGCAATACTCTTTAATAAAAAGAAAGAAGAACAGAGAAAATAACGGCTTGATAAGAAAACTAACGTCAATATAATCAACGAACATAGGCCGTTTCCGTCGACACTCCCGCAAAGTTTCGATGGCCTTAGAATAGTTTTCCACGTAGTTTAAGTAATCTTCAGAAGTAGTTGTCTTTTGCCAACACAATTAATAAAGGTGAAATGTAAACTTAAACTATAAAGGTCGCACCACAAGATCGGTTAACAAACTGCTCAAAGCGCAACCGCTGGTGTGCTGCTCCTGGCTAACTACCGAATTCAGCTAGGAAAGTTCGTACGCAAAATGCGCAGAAAAAGAGAAGTGATGAGCAGGGGCAAACCTTTTCATAGAAGGGCCGGTGTTTCCGGCACAACGTCCCGACGTTAAAGAAAATAATATTCAGTGATTCTAAATCAATAATAGGAAAAGAGCTATCCACACGCGCTTTTAGCGGTTTGTAGAACACCTGCGCAAAAAATTGTAAATAAAGTAAACAGAATATATAATGTTAAATACTTTAAATAAAAAAATTCAATCGAACATTTATAAGAATTTCTAACGCATTGAGGTAGTTGTTTTCTGTGTAAACCAGTTCTTGAGCTACACTCATCAACTTTTTATATCTCTTTTGATTTTTTTGTTCTTCTTTTCGTTTAACATCTTCAAGAAACTTAAGTTCGAAAATTACTTTCTCTAGTTCATATTCAACTCTGAGAAGGAGATAAAGGCAATCCTACAAACGAAGTAATAAATAAAAAAGTTAGTGTATATAAAATATTTTTACTCAAAAACTTAACTTGTTACTCAATTTCAAAATTTTTTGGTTAAAAATTAATAGTAAAGGTATAGCCTTAACTTATAAAAGTTTTCGTGTAAGAGAAGCTTTAATTTTTTTTTAAAAAAAAAAAAAGAAAACTCTGGGACGGGAAGTAAAACCATTATAACTTAATTAATAAACTAAATTAATTTTTTAAAGGAATAAATATAGTAAAACGACCTCGCGACAGTTCACCTTTTCTATAGTTTCGTCCCAAAAGGGATCGAAAGCTAAGACTGGATCTATTAAATTTTGGAAAAGTAAACTATACGAACGGAGATAAATTAAGGTTATACTACAAAAATTACTTGACGAGTCTTCATCATTGAGCATAAAATTTAGTTCTGGCAGAGGATCTCTCTCAAAACAAAAAAGGTCGTTCTCTATACAATTAGAGTGTCGTTTGAGGAATTTTGTCCTTTGTATAAAAGTAAACTTAATTTTTTTTAATAGATTTCATAATGAAGCAGTTATAGTATACAACTATAACATAAATAGTTTAAAATAGTAGAATATAATTAAGTTAATAACGCGCCTGAGTTTTTGGCATATAACGGCGAGATGGTCACTAGCTGGGAGAGAGGAAACTAAGTCTAACCAAGCAGTTTGTATTTCTTTCGCAAGTAAATCTGGTAATCTTTTACATTGCTTCATGTCTAATTAAACGAAACGTACACATCGAACAAAGCCCTTATGCCAACTCAGCTGCTGCAACAAGTAGAAACAAAAAAAACATAAAAACTCTGCAGTTTAAAGTTACACAAAAGAATTTTCTAAATACGGTACCCTTTTTAATTAAAACTTCTTACTTTTTTAGGTAGTTGGCCAATCCTGAAAATTATAAGTTCAAGTACACGCGCTTACACTCCTCCTTTAGAAATTTCTTATTTTTAGGTTTATAAGCTACTTTACTGACAGGATAAACTTGCTACCGGTTTGGTAAATATTAATTGTATTTTCTTAAGGTAAGATATTCATATTATCTGCTTTTAATTGTTCTAATCGTATTTTTCTCCGGACTCACCAGGTTATTATTAGTGTTGTAGGCTATTTGAAATTAGTCTTTATACACCTGATTGTTAACTTTATTTATACAGTTAATATATTATGATATTCCGAATATAATTTCTTTAAAATTATCTGATTTAATAACTTTGCGTGTGCGCAAAGCAGTTTGGAAAAGGAACTCTGAGGAGGGGTACTTTTCGCACAATCATTCAATGTATTCAAAAAAAAAAGACAAACCAGCAACAGTTTAAAAATATTAAAATTTATTTATAGGGACCCTTTTCATCTATACTATTAAGTCATTCTTTTAGTAACACTAATAACCTCAACTTCATTGCCACCGTCTAGTAAGCATTGTTTCTAACGACGCGTTTGTGTATCTTTACAATGAAATGTTACACCCAAACTCGGGGTTGTGTTCACCCCTGTGGTTAGGTCTGCAAAGCCCTTTGCGATTTATTACCCTTTTGAGAAGCATTACTATTGGGGAATAAATGATTTTTTAGAAATAAATAATTGCAGTGTGTGTCTCCCACTTATAAATTATAGATTTTAGATGCTATAACTCTTTAGTCCGTATATAATACACTTATTAAGGGAAGGAGATAATAGGTTGTCAGTCCACTAATAAACAAGAATTATCCCAAACAAAAACTTTCCATGGCTTTAATCTGATAAATTGATATGAATATATTTTTATGTTTGAACAATCAATGAACTGTAGAAATTATATATTATTGCTCGCTGTCTGAGTTGCTAATTAAGAAAAGAGCGCTTTGATAAAAATAATGACCTGCGCGGAAGATGCGATGGGCAGTGGATACGATGTTGTTGACGACAACATAGCTAATCATATAAGCTTCTATATAGCTTTCCATTCTATTAGAGTGCTATTGGAGATGTTTTAAATAATTACAGATCAAACTTAAATACATGTTGTAATGCATAAAAATTAACAGTATCTTAATAATAAATAACTTGTAAAACACAACTCTTTACGACACAAAAGGAGTATGCGAGGGGAGGGGTGGTGACACACCGCGCCAAAAAATTATCAGAGAAGACTAATATTTCATTTACTGCTACTTTAAAAAACAAATTAGTAATTTACTTAAATTAATGCCCCCTTATTTTAGAAAAGGGTAGTAAAAGGCCTTCCAAACGCATACTTTGACCTTGAAGGCATGTGAGGTTTACCTACAAACGCCCCCGAGTAAACTTTTAAAAAATTTACTTTCTCGGCTTGGATGCGCGTAATAATTTTATAACTGTCGGTTCTAAAAAAGCATCCTTATGGGACTAAAAAGCCTCCCATTGAAATTATATTAGCAGCAGCTTAGTGTTAACAATATGCTCAGTCATCCTGTAAATTTTAGTATGTCCTTTTCTACCTCTTTACAAAGTCAGCAGCGTTACAAGTTTGTTTACTCTGAATTTTTTAATAAAGAAAATACTTCAACTTTAATAAATACTATAGCTTCTGTTTTACAAGAAATTACTTATTCCTTGCCCAAGGTTATCAGACTGAGACTTAAAATATTTTAAGTTACTTTTGATTTATCAACTAAACTATTATACTATAAATCTGAAAGGAGGAAAATAAAGTGGCGAGTCCTTTCAATTTCTTAAAGGAGCCGAGTATTTCGATTCTCGATTATTTTACCAGAATAGCTTCGTATGTTCACTGCACCAGACATTGCTTTGTCCTAGCATTAATATACATTGACAGGTGCGTTTTTCTGTGTTTTACAGAACAAGGCTAAGGCCTCTAGTAAAAAAAACTATTAAATAGATTTATGACCCACGGATCACTCACATTAAGTCCTTGTAATGCTCACAGACTGTTACTTACGAGGTATGTATTTATAACATAATTATACCCTATGACTCTAATTATTTCATATAAAGTCTTTTGGTCGCAATAAAATATTTCGATGATAATTCTTGCAGTAATGCGTACATGGCCAAAGTGGGTGGTATCCCAAGAAAAGAGCTTTTAAATCTAGTGATCTATTCAATAACACTTTTACAGTATAACGCTTATATATCTTTTCTTTCTTAGGAGTTATGCTTTTTATTTACTATAAAATTTCGCTTGAATGTCGAAAAAGATCTTTTTGAGGATTATTGCTTAATTATATTAAAAAAGTATGACAGGGATAAGCTGTATACTTCTAGGTCGGAGCTTATAAGGCCTTACTACGCTATGGCTTGCCCACCAAAAGTAAAGAGACATTTTCTTACTAGGAGTCATAGCGACACCGATCTCAGCGCTGAAGGCAGAGCAAAAAACCCATAAAAAAAAATCCTACTTAAATTTATCATAAACTATATAAAAAAAATTTGCTTTAAAAGTTGTTGATGCTAATAATTTACTATGAATCTACTTTATATAATTATGTTTAAAAAGCCCAATAACTTTTGTAGTTCATAGTTTGTCCAATGGTTGCCTTATCAATCCTGAACTTCAAGCTGTATTTTCCACCAAGGCTTCCCCTTCTTGTTTTCAGTCAGTACTTCACATCCTGTTGTGTTTTTATGGTTACCATTATTTCAATAAAAAATTCATAATCAGAGATAATAAATAACATAAACTTCTAAAAGTTTGTTTAAAATTCAAGAAACGAAATTTTAATCCTAATTTTTTTATTACTGCGACGAAGCTACTACCGTTCTTCGTGATGAGCAGTTGATGCTCAAACTGTGCAGAGCGCTTCCCGTCTTTCGTTACAGAAGTCCAGTCGTCCGGCCACATTTTATCGTGAACTTTTTTTAAAATTAAGCAACCGCCAGCGCGTTTGCAGTATAGAAACACCTACAAGTGCCCAAGTTGATCATCGGTTCTATTGTAAACACGTGGCCTTCCTTCATAACGCCGATGGCCTTGTTTTTAGCGTAGTGAGGCACGTTTGGAGTCGTGTGGAAGAGCTCATGGATCCCTTGTGTGGATCAATAACAAGCTTTGAATCAGAAATAAAGAGGAAAAAAAGAACGCAGATGCACCATGACCGCAGTAGGAGCGAACTACCGAAAGACCGCAGGCAGTGGCGTGACTTTGAATAATTTCGCCGATGGAGCGGTACAACGCGCCAGGCCTGCAGATGCGGATCGCTTTTTGTAGGCACTCGTAAGTCGATTTTATAAGGCGAATGGAGCTCTTTGGTTGTTATAAAGGTTAATTAGCAATAACAAAAAAGGTAAAAACGGTAGAGGATACCGACCTCGTCTGCCTTTCCTACAAATACGGTTTCGTTGAGATCTCCATGGTACCCGTCGTGGTAGAGAGTGACATCAATGTTCACAATGTCGCCCTCCCGCAGTGGCCTCTGGTCAGGAATGCCATGGCAAATAACCTGTGTTTAAAAAGTAATTAATAGAAAAATAATATTTAAGCAGAAAATTACGAGTAATAAAATATGCAAAGTACTTTTAAAATTAAAAATATAAAAGTAAAAAGTATACAAACTATAACAATTAAAAAAATTAAAATAAATGATAGCTGTATAATAATTGCATTGCCTCGTTGACGGACGTGCAGCAGGATTTGGGAAAACCGCAATAGTTTAAGGGAGACGGATACGAGTCGCGTGCCAAGCAGGCTTCGTGGACGATCCGGTCAATTTCGTCTGTAGTTATGCCGGGCTATACAGTTTTAATAGTTATCAAACTTTTTACAATAATAAAAAACGACTAGAAAAACTAAAAAAAAATTATCTCATTGAGTTACCCTAATATAACCAAATATTGAGCGCAAATCTACCTTGACAGCAGC